TTACTTCTGTTGTGATTTTGGGCTGTGCGAGAATACACAGTAGTCTTCAATTACTATGTATTCTCGCACATTTTTTTTACAGTCCAAGGTCATCCAAAGCGCTCTACAATGTTCAGATATTATTCCATTCTCTCCACACACGGTGATGATAGAAGTGAGACGCAGAACACACTGGTGCATCAAAGCCTCAATCAATCACTCATTCCTATTGTGTATGTTTTTAGTGGTAGGGGAAACCGGAGCACCCGGAGCACTACGCAGAGAGGGAGAACAGAAAGGAGTAGATTAGAACCCAAGACCTTCTTGCTGAGAAGCGAGAGTGCTATCCACTCAGCCACCACATAAAACCCACTTTTACTGAACGTCCTAAAACTGCCTGTTTTAAACTTCATATTTTGTATTGTACTGTTCCACGTTGTATTTGTTTTGTCTTTCTGGATCTTTTATATTATTATGACTGTTTATATTGCTTTATGAAGACTGTGGAGATTAAAGATTTATTATCATTACATAGATTTGATGAAGACAAGCCTGTCACACAATGAAAAGACCGCCCTACCCATTCTGTGCAAACGCTCTGCTTTCAAAATGATTACACTCTGAGCAATCCTCACACTCGTAAAGTTAAAACAACAAGTGAGTTTTGGGAATTTCCCTTTGGCTCAATTTTCACAAAATATATACCTTTATATGTTTAATTGTTTTTATTTTACTTGGCACCAACTTGCAGCCTGTGACAGATCGCATTGGGAAGCTGCTTAAATCTGTCTCATTTATCACTACAGCCAATGTCCCAGAGCTTTAGAAAGTATATCCAGATGCCCGCCTCTACGCCCAGTGATGAATGGATGAGATCTTGGGGGTGAAAAGACTGTCTGGGCGAAATCCATCCTACGAGAGCACCGAGAAGCAGGTCAACATGTGTGTAACGGTTTGAGACGGATTTATATGAGGCCTGGTTCATCGAAAGTCCAGTCTAAGTGGAGGGTGTAGGAACTGTAAATACTCCCAGGGTACATTATATTTGACTAAGCATTCTCTGGAGTATTATGGGGGTGTTCTTGGGGTCCTCGCCACGGAAAGCTGGTCTGTGTGTGAATTTTATATTTTATTCTTGATTTTCCTGGGTTACTACTGCTACTTCTACTACCACTACTATGGCTATACTACTGCTACTTCTGCTTCTACTACTACTACTACTATGGTTATTTTACTGCTAATACTACTACTGTGACTATGGTTATATTACTACTGCTACTACTACTACTACTACTACTACCACAACTATACTACCACTGCTGCCTTACTACTACTGCTGTTGCTTTTATACAACACATGTTTATGATTCAAGTGTGCCAACAACAGCAACTAGTTCCTTACTACTGCACTCTAATACATTACTCCTACTTGCGCTACGCACTTAGAGTTAATGGTTAAGCAAATGCCATGAATGGAAAATTGACGTATTGAAATTGCTTACGCTAATACTATACTATTACTTCTGTAACTACTTAATTAGTTACAATGGGTCCATGGGTTAAATATGGGTGTGCCAGATTGTTCAATCAAAGACTCAAATCCAGACCAAATGGAGGGACAAACTGAAATGTATAATATAACGGTTCAACTTTCCAATGGGTGTAGTCAGCACAGATTAGTCAGAGCCAATAGATCCTTAATGTGGTGAGGTGAGCTTTATAAAGGGGTAAAAAAGGTAAAAAGGACCAATACAAAATGCTATTTGAGGCCATACTTCTGGTCATGCCTAGTCACAGTTGGCTTTATGCAAATTGTAATAAGGCCCATGGCTTTGGATCAGGTTTCGGCAATTATATAAGCTTCGTTAGGCTTATTGTTTTTCCATGTATTTAAAGCTAGGGTACCTGGTTTTCAAACATTCAGCAAATATTGACATTTCTATCCATTACAAAGGCTTTAGTGAGTAACAGCCGGTACGCATATTTTTTGTACATCTGTGACCTGTTAGTGCGATATGAACCATGTCAGAGTCAGGACCAAACATGAGGAAGCATGGTTTCATATTTATGCCTGTTAAATTCTGAATCAGTAATCCTGAAAATGTGAGACAGGCTTCTACTCTGACAATGTCAAAAAACAGGCTATAACAGTTCTGTGTAGCTGTGAATAGAACTGAAGGATTGTAGCTTCACTCTTTTTAATGTACTTTGAGTTGCCTTGTGTATGAACTGTGCTATACAAAACATTTATTCACACAGGAATAACCAGCGGTTCTCAGCTCAAAGTGTCAAATAGTGATATACATGCTTCAAAATGAGCTTGGTTTGGGTTTATGCAAAAATTATATATTTTTTGCTCCTAAAATTGACTTCAAGGGGACCAAAAATAAGATGTTGCTTTTGAGAAATAACATCTGCACTCATGGCACTTCTTTTGAAAGTTGGCTAAGTGGTCATCAGGCGGATTAGCCTCTGTTTACAGTGTACGTTTGATGACCTGTTGCTTAGGTAACAAAGTGCCCAGCGGGACTATCCCAAATGGACATCACTCTTTCTCCAAATGTCAAATACACTTGACGAAATACGGCTCTATTTAAAACAGAATTCTCTGTATAGTTAATTATAGTATAAGTGCTCCCCTTTGACCGATGTTGCAAAAACCAAAAGATAGGACAAAACATAAAAACTAGACCAAAGCACAGTGTGGATTTGGTTCATTATAATCTCATTTGACAGTCCCAATGCATTTTGCTAAGACTGGACTGAAGCTATGTTAATTTAAATTATCCACAAACCTTAACAATCACTTTTATTGCTCAAAAAACGTAAAACTTTTGTCATGTTGCATATGAATAGACTGATATATAGACCTATGCCTACTTGTTTATGCCCTATGTTTTCTAATGTCATGTTGTGCAAGCAAAAACACACAGAAATACACAACAAACTTTTGATTGAGGAGGTCCGCTAAAGTTCTACACTAAAGGCAAAACTCCTCATTTTCCTGTGGATGGCAAGCAGCAGTAAACATGTCTCCTGTGCACGTGTAATCCCAAAACGTGAGCTTTGCCTCCACATTATGTTTGCCTCCCTATAATCCACGTCTTTATTTTGGAGTTATAATTACATTATGACACGACTGGTTGAATGTTTGTGAAGCTTGGAGGCTGCATTTTGTCTGAATTTTTACTTCTACAAAGATTCCACTAACACATTCTTATTATTCATGTATTGCTGTAATTGTTGTTATGAGTAGATTAATGTGAATTTAACATTCCGATTAGAAACATATTTTTCTTTCCCTGCAAATTTGACACACTGCTGAATCCAAAAGCCAATAAATGTACCTACTACGGTAGATATTTGTCTACATTCAAAGTACTCGGGCTAAAAGGGCAAAAGTCTTAAGTAAAGGTAGAGATTCTAGTATCAACTCAATTATTTTCGCCAATACAAGTTTATAAGTACAAGCTTGTGTGCACTTGCGTCAAAAAGTAAAAAAATAATCTAATAATAACAATAATTGATGATATGAATATTTAAGATATTTTGAGCTGGAAACAACATCATACTGTTCTAGAAAGATTTCTTAATCAATATTTTATTTTTCTGAACTTAGAAACACGACTAACCACAATGAACTTTTTCTTGGAAGCATGGCTAACCACTGTTAAAACCTGTTTTTATGTTGTGTCCCCGTCTGCCAAGTAACTCGTCATTTTGATTGAGCAAAAGGTACAGATATTTGGGTTTAAAAGTGAGGAGCATAAGTCAAAAGTTGTCCTGAGTTGTACTGACAACAGGAACAACTACTTAAGTGCAGTATTAGAGTGAAAATACCAAGTTACTTGCCACTGTGTAGTACAGTAGATAACCCTGCTGCGAGAGCAAACCTCTGGAATCAGCTGTTGGCAGTTGAGACCACGATTTCACTGTTTTCAATTTCACGGAGAACACTACGTGGCCAGTGAGAACTTCCAAACAGAGTCAGATTCAACAAACGACACCACAAATCCACGCAATAAATATGTCTTGTCTGTTGTCAGGGCTGCTCTACACATTTTTTCACAAGGACCACATTGTTTGAACGTCTGGGTAATTGTACAACACACTTTAAACACAGTTTAGGGTCGCAACAAATACAAAAAGTAAATGCCAAACCAGTGCAAAAATGGGACAGATGTACAAACCATGTATAAACCAAGACTTATTCAAACTGAGACCAGCAAATATGAGATTTGGGACCTGGACTATGAGTCAGTTTAAAAAGGTTTTGAGCCTTTATTAAAGCTGGGCTACTTAACTTACTATTACCATCATTAATACATTATTTTTCCAACAGAAAGAGTCCTGTAAAAGTAAAATGTTGTGAACAAACCAGACCACAACCTGCTGTCTTCATCTTATGAGAAAATATGTTGTTTTTTGTGTGTGAGAAAGAGCCCTGTGAGTCACGATTTGACGCTTTGGGCTGAGTGAGTCTTGTCCTCTCTTTGTAAAAAAAAGCAGATCTAAAGATGTGACAGAGGCCAGAAATGAATGCCAAGTGAAGACTAGTGATAGAAGCAAACTGAGAGAAAGGGACTGTGGATTTTACTACATATGGCTCAGTGTTTTGTGGTTTGAAAATTAGGTCTCCCAGCTTTAAGTTGAGTAAGATTGGTGTGTGTGTACTTGTTGAATTGTTGGCCGTAGTTATTTTCCAAAACAAAAAAGATAAGTGCCATTAGAAGCATATTTGAAAGGCTCACAGTATGCCATCTACCTGGTTCTCTTAGATCTATTTTAGTGCCACACAAATAAAGTTTCAACCCTTCAAATGTACTGCCAAAAACGAAACATGTTGAAGATTATAGCTCGAGGAATACTACCTTTTGACCATGTTTCACAGCGGAGATATAAGTTATTGCGATGTATGTAATTAGTTTCCACCACTGGGATAAATATTTTAAAATCTGCCTTGCGCCAAGAGTTGAGGGGGTTCAACTTTGGGTCATCGCTATCAATATGAAACAATTATTATTATTTTTTACCTGATTCTGCGAAACTTATTATCTCCGAAGACTCCGCCTGCACTTCGTTGTTGAACGCGGCGTGCCCGTCAAAACTGGGGATCTCCACTCGGCCGTCCTCTCGCACCTTCCCAGCGTGCAGCCTCCGGAGCGCGGTGACCATAGCCGCCTTGGGGATGGGGTGCGTGATGTTGGGGCGCTCCCTCATCTGCAGCCGGTTCAGGATGTGCCTCTTCACCGCCTCCACGAAGTCCACGTTTACGCGCTCAGACTGGTCCGGCGCTCGCAGTCCACAAGACGCGCACGACTCCTGGGTGGATGAGGTGGAGGAGGATGATGATGAGGAGGAGGATGAGGAGGAGGATGAGGACGAAGAAGAGGAGGCTGTGGGGGTCTGTGCTCCCAGGACCACCGCGCACAACGCCACCACACCGCACAGCGCGATCGTGGAGAGGCGCATTGTCTCGTGTCTCAAGACTAGAGCAATCCAAAACTGGCCACAAAGTCTCCCGCGTGTCCTCAAATGTCCGCGCAGTATAGTCCTCCTACACAATAATACACAATAATACTCCAAACAAGCCGCGAATAGACAATAGTTCAAAGCCTGCTTCGCGACATGTCAACTTGAGTCCTGAAAGAATGGCAAAGTTGGTGCGTAAAAGTGCTCCAAACTGCTTCCATTCACAAAACAGCGCTTCTCCTCTCGGTGTGTTGTGCGTAATGTCCAGTGCACATATACGGGAGGATGTTTCTGCGTGCGAATGGAAGTAAAAGAAAAAAGGTTGAAGTACGAGCTGCCGACGTACGAGATGTTTGCACGGCGCGTCTCTTGCTGCGTGATGCCTGTGTGCGTTTTTGCGCGCGCCACCAAACCCAGTGCAATCACGACAGCCACGGGGATCGCTACACCCAAAGTTTTTATACCAGAGGCGAAACCACGTGGGGAATTCCTACCAACTGGGCGCGAGGGATTAGTGTGTGTGCGTGTACGTGTGGGAGGGTGTGTGTGTGTGTATGAGGGGACGGTCTCGAATGGTGTGTTTTGCTTGTATTTTAGGTGAAGTGATTGTTCCAACTCGTCATATACAGACACAAGTGAGCTGGGGGAAAACCCTAACTAACCCTAACACTAACCCCCCCAAAAAAAGTGATTCATACAAATGTCTTACGTCCATTCTTCATTGGTCATTTCAGAAACAGAATCTGTTTTTTGCCATTGTAAGTAATAGGAAGCCACAAACTAGGAATTTGCTTTGCCTCACTGTGCAAAGAAGTTATCAATAGATATAAGGCACGCATAAAAAAATCTTCATACAAATATATCCATAACATATATTGAGTCTGAGTTTAATTTAAGCTTGGATATTTAACTACTTTTGTTTCATAAATACAACCTTTTGTTTGTGCCAGAAAGAAACAGAGAGACTTGTAAAATGTTGTGAACATATCAGACCACAACATGCTGTCTTCATCTTTTTTTTAAAAAACAAAAAACTGTATATTTTGTGTAGGAAAGAGCCCTGTGGGTCGGTATTTGACGCTTTGGGCTGAGAGCTGATTCGCTGAGAGAGGGTGGTCCTTTCTTTTTCACTTTTCTGTCTGATAACGCTGATCTAAAGATGAAGATGTGAAAATCCGTCCAACTTTCACATGTTTGTGGTTTGAAAGTCAGGTCCCCCCGCTTTAATTTTTCCCTAATGACAGTTGGCGCCTTGTATTCATAAATATACTGGTTTTGTAGCTGTCCTTCTGTTCTTCAGCTTCTTGAGGAGTGATGTGACGTTGGTCCAGTGCGCGAATATGGGTGCGCGCTGGATTTGGTAGTGAATGAGGACATCTAGTGGACAAATGGAGGACTTGCAACAGAATTTACTCTAATGTAGCTTTTTTACAGCTTGAGAGAGCAGCAGATATAATTGTGCTTGAATTCACACACCCAGGCAGAACAGTCATTTTGCCATATTTTGAGACTATGAATGAAAATATAAAAAACTATCCGTAAACGTTTTAACACTAAGACTCCCAAAATTATGAAATATACGAGAACTTCCAGAGCCGTCATTTTGACTGCTCCCATTAAAACCTATGGAATTCTGAGTAATTTCCCCAAAAAATGTTTAGTTTCCCACCAGATTTAATAAAAAAATAAGTGATGTATTGGGTTTTCTCCTTCCTAATAAATGCTATAATTGGTAAAAATCGGTGAATTTGTTTGTTGAAAGGCAACCAAATGCTAACTGCTGCAGGTAAACAGTATTTTGCTATGGTAACTAGTACTTTCTCATCTCTGATGGAAAAAAAAAAACAAGGTGACTTGGCTCAGATCCAGTCCTGGTTCAGCCCAGTCCAAGCTCAAAGGTGTTTTAACCTTCATAGAGTTGGTCCGAAAATGGCATTGAATGTTTTCACCTGGTTTCAGCGCTCTCCAGGATTCCCCCAGATGATGTCAGGTTAAGGAAGAACTTGTCTGGGACTTTTGTGAGAAATACAGGGTACCACAATGTATTGTTCTGGCTCCCTTCCTCTCCACAATTCACACTGCAAACTTTGCACACAACTCTGCTACATGATATGTACAAAAATACTAGGACGAAACCGCTCTTGTGGCATGTGTGCAGGGGGGGATGAAGCAGAGTACAGGGAGGTAGTGGCTGCTGTCTCAGACAGCAGTGAGAGAAATGTTCTTATTCTCATTGCGTCCAAGACCAAGGAGATGATCATTGACTGATCAACCGGGCACACTAAATGGACAGGACATCAAAGTGGTTCAGTCCTACAAATACCTTGGAGTCCACCTGGACCACAGACTGGACTGGTCAGCTCAGACCAATGCTATCTATAAAAAAGGTCAGAGCAGACTATTCTTCCTGAGAAGACTGAGGTCCTTTGATGTGAGCAGTCAAATGTTGCACATGTTTTACCAGTCTGTTGTAGCTAGTGCTATGTTCTTTGGGGTCGCGTGTTGGGTCTGCAGTCTGACCTCAAGAGACAGTAACCGGCTCCACAGGCTGATCAGGAAATGTGTCGTTGTGATGGGGAGAAGTGTGGACTCTGTGGGAGCTGTGCTGGAGAAAAGGATGAAGGCTCTACTGCAGGGCATCCTGGGTAACTCCAGACATCTTCTGCATGACACTCAGAGGAGTAATCAAAGAAACAGGCTCCTATCACTGCGCTGCCGAACGGAACGCAGCCTCAATATGCAGTAACGCCCTGGCCACCAAACCTATTGTTTTTAACCAATACTCAAGTTTTGAGTATCACTCTCTTGTTTTTAGCAACCCCAAAATTTTAACAGTAATTATTTATAGGCCACCTAAAAAGTGCAGCCTTTTTATTCATGAATTCTCAGCGTTTTTATCACAGTTACACAATTCTTACAACATGATAATTTTAACCGGTGATTTTAACATACACATTGACAATCCCTCTGACAATTTTACCCTAGATTTCTTAGATGTTCTTAATTACATGGATTTTACCCAACACGTCAGACAGCCAACACACAACAGGGGACGCACCCTCGACCTGGTCATTACCTATGGCCTGACTGCGGATGTGTCCTCTGTTGTCGACTTGGCTGTCTCGGACCACTACTGTGTGTTTTTAACATCACTGGTTTTATTCAGCGTGAGACCTCTGTGAGAACCGTGAGGAAGCGACATCTAACCCCTGAAGTGGCTGCAAATTTTATGGACATCCTAAACAACACTCCCCACTTGGTTTTACCTGCCCCCTGTGATTTTATAGCAAATGATTTTAACAGTAGACTTAGTTCCGCATTGGATCAAGTCGCTCCTTTAAAAAACAAAAATCATAAAAACAAAATCTGTACCCCCATGGAGAAAGGAGGAAGTACGAAAAATGAAACGAGAGTGCAGGGTGGCAGAACGAAGGTGGAGGAAAGATAAAATAACAATCAACTACGAACTATATAAAAGCAATCAAAAAGCATACAATAACACAATTAGAAATCATAAGAACAAATACTTTGCAAAGCTAATCACCCAAAATAAAAATAACCCAAAGGTCCTATTTTCAACCATCGACACCATTTTAAACCCTGATTTTAGCATGTCTCTTTTAACCCCCACAGACTCCCTCTGTGAGGATTTTGCAGTCCACTTCACGGGGAAGATAAACACAATCATGTAACATTTTATCCAACCGCACAACTGTTTTTAACACATCTGATTGTTTGTCTTCGCCAGAGGAAACACTGGACAGTTTTGTCCTGGTTGATGCTGAGATGCTTGATAAAGTTTTCTCCTCAGTGAGGCCCACCACATGTCTTTTAGATCCAGTCCCCACTCCATTTTTTAAGTCATTTTATGAATCTTTTAGAGAGGAGCTTTTAAACCTGATGAATTGCTCTCTGCAGACTGGGGTCTTTCCTGCAGCCTTCAAAGCGGCTGTGGTGAGACCCCTTCTGAAGAAGAGCAATTTAGATTTTAATGATTTTAACAACTACAGACCGGTATCCAACCTGCCATTTTTAAGCAAAATTTTAGAAAAACTTGTTTTTACCCAGCTCAATGCCTTCTTAGATCAGCAACAAATTTTAGAGAAATTTCAATCAGGTTTTAGGGTGGAACCACAGCACAGAGACTGCTCTTTTAAAGATTTTAAATGATTTTAGACTAAGTTATGATTCTAAAAAGGTGACCGTGTTGGTTCTACTGGATCTAAGCGCTGCCTTTGATACAGTAGACCACACCATTCTTTTATCCCGCCTGAAACACCTCGGCCTCTCTGGTGCTGTCCACAAATGGTTCACTTCTTATTTAACAGACAGATCCTTCATGGTAAGTTTGGATACCTGCTCCTCTCAGGTCCATAAAATCACATGTGGTGTGCCCCAGGGTTCCATTTTAGGTCCAGTCCTTTTTAACCTGTACATGCTCCCTCTTGGCGGTGTCGTCAGGAGACATGGAATTAACTTCCACAGCTATGCAGATGATACACAGCTGTACATCTCCATGTCTCCTGACGACACCAGGCCAATGGATGCTCTTTTTAACTGCATTTTAGACCTGAAATCCTGGATGGCAGAAAACTTTCTCCAGCTCAACCAGGACAAAACTGAGGTTTTAGTCATCGGTCCTGAGGCCCAGAGAGAGAAACTTTTATCAAAACTCCAATCACACTCTTTTAATCCATCATCACAAGTGAGAAACCTGGGCGTAATCTTTGACTCTGAGCTGACTTTTATTCCTCACATCAAGAACATCACAAAAATAGGTTTTTATCATCTAAAGAACATTGCCAGAGTCCGCCCCATTCTCTCTCGGGGCAACACGGAGACGCTGATGCATGCTTTTATAACCAGTCGCATTGACTACTGTAATGCCCTGCTCTCTGGTCTTCCCAAAAAGAACATTTCAGGTTTACAATTACTCCAAAACTCGGCCGCACGTGTCCTGACTAAGACCAGGGGGCGGGACCACATTACACCGGTTTTGAAATCGCTGCATTGGCTCCCCGTGTGTTTCAGGATCGATTTTAAGGTTCTTTTTAATGGTTTTTAAATGTCTTAATGGTCTTGGGCCTTCTTATCTTTCAGATTTGCTTTTATCCTATGAACCTTCCTGGCCCCTGCGCTCCTCCGGCAGCAGACTTCTAACCATCCCCAAAGTCAGGACACACACTCACGGTGAGGCATCTTTCCAGCACTACGGCCCCCGTCTCTGGAACAGTCTGCCGGAGGAGCTCAGGGCCGCAGAGAACGTTCATATTTTTAAAAGCAGGCTCAAGACACACCTTTTTAGATTAGCTTTTGATTAGTTTTTACTATTTCATTTTATATATTCTATTTATCTTCTATTATTTATTGTATTGCTATTGCTTTTATTCATGTATTGTGTGTTAGTTCATTTTAGTTTCATTTTAGTTTCACATTTTTGTGTTTTACATATTGTATTGTTATTGTATTGTTTTTAGTGTACCCAGTGTTTCCTCTGGAGGAGCCCTCTGCACTGGGAGCGGTGGTCGGCATGGCTGTGGGGGTCGGACTCTTGGACCTGGTGGGGGCCTGGGGCCTCGGTTTCGGGTCTCCTCTAGATCCTGTGTCGTCCCCTGTGGCTACAGGCGGCTCTCTGCTCCTGGTGCAGACGGCTCCTAGGATGACGCTTTTTCAACTGGTTGCATCCGAACCCTGCCAAGTCTCTCATCATTGTTTTACTGTTTTACTTGTGTGTGTGTGTGTGTGTGTGTGTGTGTCAGAGAGTGTGCATGGGAGCGTGTGTGTGTTTGTCTGTGGTTTGGGATGGGTCTGTTGGGTGGTCGGGGGGAGGGGACATGGGCCGGCGGGATTGTTTTTAACCAAACTGTAAAGCACTTTGTGTTGCATCTTTTGTATGAAAAGCGCTTCATAAATAAAATTTGATTTGATTTGATTTGATTTGAAGAGATCCTTTGTTCCTTCAGCTGTCAGACTGTACAGAGACCTGGATGAGTCTTCTGTTGCTGGACAATTTATCCTACAGGGGATCAATAAAGTAGCTAAATATCTATAACATGGAGTTGCTCTGGAGAAATCTCAAACATGCAGTTCATGCATGGCAACCCAGGAATGTACATGAACTGGAGGCTTTTTACCAAGAAGAATGAGCAGCTTGCTTTACGAGGATACAGAATTCATCCACAAAGCACTCTCATGTCATAGATGTTTAAGGCGAAAACACGCTAATGAGAACTGGGCTTGGAGACTTCTGATCTGGGCCAGAAGATCAATTGAAAATAGAAAACATGTTTGTTTTTCCAGAAGGCCACTTCTCTCATACATTACACAATAGGCAACCTATATGGAGCCATTGCTGTGGTGTATACACTAATATACTTAATATACAAAATAAAAATAAATATTTGTCATTGTTTGTCTCATATTGTCCACTTCTTGTCTATACATCCCAGGGGACAATAAATCTGAAGTACCTGTCCCTGTGCACACAGCATTATAAACGTTTTAATGTACTGTGATTATTTACGTTTTCTTGAGAATGAACTGCCCTATTCAAATATACTTGCCTTGTCTTACTTTAAAATGTATATAATAATAATAATAATAATCCATGTTTGTCACAACAGAAAGCTGATTGGCTGAGTGAGGGTGGTCCTCTCTTTATCACACTACTGTTTGAAAAAGCTATATTTTTATTTGATCTATTCACAATACCTAACTCTTGGCAATAATTAGTAGGATACAAATAAGTACTTATCAATAAAGACTTAATTTCTATCACGTTGCAATGGATTTCTGTCAGAATTGTGACGTGTCTGAAATGCAGTAGAGCAGTAGTAAAGAAGTCTGCTATAGTGACCTTATAGCTCCCTCTAGAGGTCTAAGGAAAGTGGTGCAAGATGACAGCCAGGCTAAAACCCTTCTTCACTTTTTAGGATAAAAACAGATTCTAACAATGCATTTTTTTTCACACCAGGATCAAAGAGAGCGCTAAACCACAGATGTTTAAGCCCAAACCATTTTCTAGAGTAAAACAAATAAATGTACTCACTCTTGCCAACTCAACAATGTATTTACATGTACAAGACTATGATCAAATTGCAGGTCTCTAAGGTTCAATGTAACGTTCTGTACAGCTGCTTTAAAAATGAAAAACAGTGAAATAATATGCAAACCAGTGAAATCTCCATAGTTTAATAAATATAATTTTGTTAAAAGTAACTGTTTAATTCATAGTATAATTTTTCTATATTAGTTTTTTTAATACAACTTTTGTGCCCAGTGAAAAAAAAGTGAAATATTAGCGGAGTGCTGGATCGGAACAGACGAGATCCGATAAAGAAGTCTTCACAGTTGGAGATAACAGGAGTAAACACAGACACATATAACACTACTCTATAAAGAAATGTCTATTCTGCCAGCTTTGGGAAAAAAACGGTGATTCCTGTTAACATTGAACAATATTCTCTCATCTTAATAAAAAAAGATTTGAAGTTAATGACGAGCAAAAACTTTTAAAAACGTTTTTAAAATCTCACTGTGGATAAAACTTAACCGTCCATTGCCAGATCTGCTTATAAAACAGTCAAATTGAAGATAATGACTTAAAACTAGAGTACCTAAGTATCAAACCTCAAAAAAAAGAACTATAAAATAAATCCATGTAGCTAATTCCAGGTTCCATCACTAGCTCTATCACATTTTTGGCCAGAATCACATCTTTCGATCAGCTTTCCCAGACATAAAAGTCAAAAAGGGAGGACCACCCTCACCCCAAGCAGTCAGATCGTATTTCACAGAGCTCTTTCGTACAAATATGCAAAAGATAATCTGTTTTATAATAAGGTGTGTTCAGATTTGATCTATTTCTGTCTTTCTAAAAAGGTACCCCAGCTTGAGTTCTTAAACATTTCTCTTTTGAAATGTGCAATTTCAGTCCCACTGAGATTATTCTTACAGTTGTATGTAATTCACTTCTTTTATCAAAAAGGTTTTTTTTTTTTTTTTTTTGAGGATTGTAAAACACTTGTGCACAAGTCTTCTAAATGAAAAGTGCTGCTAGTGTGAAAAACAAAAAATAAATTGAAATGGCATGAGATTGTATTTTTCTCATATAAGATAATTGTTGGGCTGGAGTTATGCCACCCCCCCGACCCGGAAATAGATTAAGGTTATAGTCTGGAGTTTGTCAAAAAAACTCTGTTCTTCAGCTACACGTCGGCGAGCGTCATTTGCCACACGGAGATGGGCGCGTGCGGCGTGAACGGCTTTCCTCCAATCACCAATAGCATGTCGGGTAAATGCTGGCTGATGTTTGTCAGTTCCGAGTCCTGACTCAGCAGATTCTTCAGTGCTGTGTTCTCGAAGGTTAAACAGTCCATCCTCCACTCCTTCTCCGTGACGTCCCCCGGGCTGCCTTTGTTCGGCACCAGCGTCTGCAGCTCGATTGCGGTGTCCGAGCCCAGGAAGCCGAGGCGTGCGGGAAAGCACTTGGTCCGGAAACGCTGGAGTTTGTCGTCCAGACGAGTTTGGGCAGAAGGGTCAGGGGGCCGCCAATGGGAACGCTGGTAGCTGGGGCCCAGACCAACGCAGTAGTGGTGGGTCTTGGGAGGAGGGGAGGAGCCCGAAGGCAAAGCGGGGATCTGGCTCCAGGACTGGGATGTGACATTGTAAGTCCAGAGACGGTTCTGGAGGGAGTCGTTGCCGTCACGCCCCCCGAACACCAGCATGCAGTCTCTGTAGGCAACGGCGCTGTGGCCAACCAGCTTCGACGGGCCGGACCTGAAGGTCAGTCAGAAATAACAGAGGTTTAAAGAACAGAATGATTCATTATTGATGCAGGCCGGGTCTAAGGACAGAGATGATCTGGGACATTCATTAACATTTCTGGACATTTTGTTTTGAAGTGTCATTGCCATCTGCCATGCGTTGTCAGACCTTGAAATACTGCAAATTATGACAAAAATATATATAAAAAAACATTTCTGAACCAATGGCTCTTTAGTGTTTGTTATTATTGCATTTCATGTGTTCAAACTGATTCCTTCTCTGATCTGTTGTTGGTGAACTGACACCAGAAGACTGCTAGTGTGATTTAGGGCTACACAAAAATAAAATTTAAGTGAATCGAAATGTATATCTCTTATATATTGACCGAACAATTCAACAAAAATCAATTTTACATTTTAACTTCAGTAAATACTTTCCTTAGAGTACCTACTACGGGTACTTTCAGCACATCAAAGCCAGATTCTTTTCCATTTGCAGTAAAACCACATTGGAAAATATGTGCTGAAGTACGCCAAAGTGCACCAGACAAGTACATAAATAAAACAAGCCAAAAAGAACAAGAAACGAATGTCAAAAAAACAAACAAGTGCAAGATCATTAAAGTGCATGCGGTCCTGCCACAGTGTAAGTCCACAGAACACCACCAGCACCCACACACCTGGTTCTGAGGGGGATCCAGGAGCTGCTGCAGGGGGTCCACTTCCAGAAGTCCCTCTGCTCACGGAGGCCCCTGAGGCCCCCGTACAGGTACATGCAACCGTGGAGGGCCACGCAGGAGTGACTGTGGCGAGGGCCCGGTCCTGATGAGGTTTGTGGGGAGGAGCTGACAGGGGACCAGGCCTTGGAGTCTGCAGGACACACAACACATGAGATTACGTACGCATGCACGCACCTACGAATGACGCACACACGCACCTTTGATATGTTGATGTTGCGTTTTGGAACAGTTATCCATAATAATTGTTGAAATGTGCAGCTACGTAGCTATGATTTTATATGTCATTGATCATCAGACAAAAACACCATCTGACAAACTCTTAATGTTCTGCTTGTGCCTGAACCCTGTGTATCCAGAGGTTCTGAACCAGGACTGGACCTGGTCTACACCGTGGGGCTACACTGCTAAAGACACATGCTACAGACACATGCTGCAGCTTTGAGCTGACATCAGAACCCTGCGCTGATGCAGAGGTCACAGAAACAGACCCTTTCTGATTGCCCATGTCAGAAAATAGAGGGTCTGACTGCTTTGATATTTAATGGTGTAAGTACAAGTATAGAGGACAACTTCTAAATATTAGCGGTGGGAATTGGTGATTCTTAACGTACGGCTATAAGGAAAGTATTGCGATGTGATTCTGTGATTCATGTCCATCATATCATTGAAAGGCTTTACAAAAATAAGACTGGTCAACTCAAATGTCACATTTACTATAGTCTGCACAATAACTGAAGAGCAAAGCAAAAAAATCAAGTTCAGGAGAAAGAAAAAACAAGCTAGTAACAAACTTATGTTTGCTGATGAAAGTAGACAGTTTTGCTTGTAGATTTCACATTACAGTACCCACTATGTAGGCCTAGTAAAATTTGTAAAAATCATCAAAAAAAGCTGGCAGTTAGGGAGTAGCTGCTCTGAAATTGGCTGTCAGGCAATGAGTTAAATATGTTTCACTGGTTAACCACTAACATCCCTTATTGCGCAATATTTTTCATATTTCAGCATCTTCAGATGACTATAAAACACATGTTTCTCCACCAAATATGTGTACACTCTTCAACTTAACATACAAGTAATACTTGATTATTTTGGATCAAATGAAGTAGAGAGTTATAGCCAAGGATGTGAGGAAATCTGATATAATAGACTTTGCCTGTGTCAAAGTCTCTTCATGGCCTCGCACCAAAGTACATCTGTGACATGTTAGGGCCATTTGAACCAACTCGGACTCTGAGGAGCACAGGGACTGGCCTCCTGTTGGTGTCCAGAGTCAGGACTAATTATGGTGAGGTAGCGTTTCAGATTCAAGCAGCTAAAACAAGAATTTGAGACAGGCTTCTACTCTGACATAAGTTCGAATCCAGGTTAAAACAGTTCTGTTTAGCTGTGCATACAACTAAAAGATTCTATCTTCACTCTGTTAACGTACTGTGATTATTTATTAGCACTTTGCGTTGCCTTGTGAATGAAATGTGCTTTACAAATGTTTTAATGAAAAACTTATTGTGTGGAGTTTGTCATCATACCTATTCTTATTGTTATTGTGAGGTTGTTACCAAATTATTACGGTATGCTACAATAGTAAATATGTTAGCCTGACATTTGAGTTGAAAAGCAGAAGAGGGCTTAGTTACTGATCAAACGCCTGTAAATTCCCACTCTTTATATGACAATAAAAGTAATCCTGTTCTCACCCAGGTCCAAACTCCAGAAGTCTGCAGAGGATCCCTTCAGGTCGATGTAGCCTCCGTACAGCAGCATGGCAGAGCCGATGACCACTGCACTGTGGCTTTTTCTGTTGGACGGCCTCTCTGCCTGTGAGAAAGAGAGGTCACTCCATTGTTAATGTACTTTAATGTAGAAACACATTCGATTGCGCAGTAGTAGTAGCAGTAGTAGAATTGTATCTTTTACAATCGTTTTTTTTTGTCATTCCTTGCCGATGCAGGAGGGTCAAAGAACAAAGATTCAAGAATTCAACAGATTAAAGGACATGTATGGACAGTGGTCTTCCCGTTCCCATTGGACCAATGGCTCCTATTTGTGTGCTTTGATTGTCCTGTATTTCCTGTGTTCAAACTGTCTGAATACCTGGTTTTGACAAATCAGCAACTTTGTAAAATCCTCTGTGACAACTGCTGTTATTATACAAAATGAATTGATTATTATGATCAATTATATCAAACTAATTTATTGCCGTCACATGTACAGCCCTCAGATTATAAATTCTAATTAGAGATTATTGGTGATCCAGGACACTCCACATTCAACAAAAGGTTTGTACATTTATCAACATTTATGGACCAACGGCACTATGTGTTTTTAATCACTGTTTTTCTTGTGTTTGAACTGATCTGTGTTGGCAAAATTCAACGATTTTTTGAGATAACTACTGTTGTGATTTAGGTCTATACACAAATACATTGAATTGAATTGTCATTACCTGTAGAGACTTCCCACGCCAATGAACCCACTTCTGTGTCACTAGAACAAAGACAAAAACAGAGACAGACATAAGAGAGGCATAACAGACAGTGGAATACAGAGCGTGTGATCACAAACACTGTTATTATTTTTGTGTACCTGTACAAACCTTGGCACTATTATTACTGGAATCCATTTGCGCACAAGCACATACAGTACCTGTCGCTCCCACTTGAAACTGTTTTTTACTCACTTCTATGGGAGAGAAGGTGAGAGTGTGACATGCTTTTTGACAACCTCAGCCCTGGAGCTCAGAGCCGGCTGCAGAACACTCAGACAGCTGTAGTTGTGGACATAGATCTCTTCTGTCTGTCTGACTTTGAGAAACATTTGTACATTTTTCTATGATTTACCCTCACAGTGCAACTACGCCTCACCACAATCAAATGTAATGGATTATATATTTTGGGATAAATAAAAATATGACTACAATATATCTTTATATTGTGCCTTTCTGGGTACTCACCTTTTAGAATATGAAATAATGTGAGTAGACAATACAGTGTCTTGCAAATGTATTCACCCCCCTTGGCATTTTGTTGCCTCACAACCTGGAATTAACATGGATTGTTTGAGGATTTGCATCAGTTAATTTACAGAACATGCCCACAACTTTAAAGATATTGTCTTTTTTCTATTGTGAAGCAAACAACAAATAGGACAAAATAACAGAAAAGGTCAATGTGCATAACTATTCACCCCCCGAAAGTCAATAGTTTGTAGAGCCACCTTTTGCGGCAATCACAGCTCCAAGTTGCTTTGGATAAGTCTCTATGAGCTTGCCACATCTTACCACTGGGATGTTTGCCCATTCCTCCTTGTAAAACTGATTTTCTATTGGATTGAGGTCTGGGCTTTGACTAGGCCATTCCAACACGTTTACATGTTTCCCCTTAAACCACTGAAGTGTTGCTTTAGCAGTGTGTTTGGGGTCATTGTCCTGCCTGAAGGTGAACCTCCGTCCTTGCCTCAAATCACACACAGAGTGGTACAGGTTTTGCTCAAGAATATCCCTGTATTTAGCCCCATCCATCTTTCCCTCAACTCTGACCAGTTTCCCAGTCCCGGCTGCTGAAAAACATCCCCACAGCATGATGCTGCCACCACCATGTTTCACTGTGGGGATGGTGGTCTTTGGGTGATGTGATGTGTTAGGTTTGCGCCAGACATAGCGTTTTCCTTGATGGCCGAAAAGTTCAATTTTAGTCTCATCAGACCAGAGCACCTTCCTCCATACATTTTGGGAGTCTCCCACATGCCTTTTTGCAAACTCAAAACGTGCCATTTTGTTTTTGTTGAGAGTAATGGCTTTCTTCTGGCCACAAAAAGCCCAACTCTATAGAGCGTACGGCTTATTGTCGTCCTATGTACAGATACTCCAGTCTCTGCTGTGGAACTCTGCAGCTCCTCCAGGGTTACCTTAGGTCTCTGTGCTGCCTCTCTGATTAATGCCCTCCTTGCCGGTCCGTGAGTTTTGGTGGGCGGCCGTCTCTTGGCAGGTTTGCTGTCGTGCCATGTTTTTTTCCATTTGGTTATGATAGATTTGATGGGATCATTAAAGATTTGGATATTTTTTCATAACCTAACCCTGACTTGTACTTCTCAACAACACTGTTCCAGTACTTGTTTGGAGAGTTCCTTGGTCTTCATGGCAGTGTTTGGTTAGTGGTGCCTATTGCTCAGGTGTTGCAGCCTCTGAGGCCTTTCAAAAAAGGTGTGTATATGTACTGACAGATCATGTGACACTTAGATTCCCCCCATTTGACATCATTCACTATTTATGTGACTTCTGAAGGTAATTGGTTGCACCAGGGCTTGATAACAAAGGGGGTAAATACATATGCACATGCCAATTTCCAGTTTTTTATTTCTGAAAAATAGCTTTATGTATATATTTTTCTCAATTCACTTCACCAACTTAGACTACTGTTTTCTGATCCATAACATAAAATTCAGATTAAAAAAACATTGAACTAAAGGCTGTAATGTAACAAAATTGGTAAAAAGCCAAAGGGGGTGAACACTTTTGCAAGGCACTGTATATGGATGCATTGAGAGTAACTAGCCTTCAAACCATAAGATGAAGCTATGTCACAAAAATCTATGTAACACATTTCTGGCTCTAAAACTGTCACTAGTTCTATCACTAGTTTTTGCCTTTTTGGCCTTTGTCACATCCTTGAATCAGCTTCAGACAGAAAAGTGAAAAAGAGAGGACCCCAGCCTCATTCAGCCGATCAGCTCTCAGCCAAAAGAGTCAAATACAAGTAGGTAAAAGATAACATGTTTTCTAGTAAAATGTAGGCAGTATGTTGTGATCTGTTTGTTAAAAAAAATGTCTCTACAAGACTCTTTCTATTGGACAACCTACTGTACTGTACTATTGCAGCAGATATTTGACGAGACTGTTATTAGACAGGCAAGGAAAATCACCACAGACCCTTCTCATGTCCTGTACTCTCAATATGAGCTCCTCCCATCAGGCCGCCGCTACAAAGTGCCAACTAAAAATAAGAAAGGATATCTAAACCGGTAAGAACTCATTCCTACCAATATCTGTGAACCTCCTGAATGCAGGCCATCGAGCAGAGCGGTGATGGTTTATGTCGGTGTTACTGTATTGTGTTTTTATATCTGTTTTATGTGTATTTTCAATGTAGCAGCCTGTAAGTCCAATACACATTTCCTACGGGGACATAATAAATTAATCTTGAATCTTATAAAAAAGGTACCACAGCTTTAAACAACTCCACTACATTTCTCACCACTCTCAAAACATGTGGGTGGACAACCTCTGATAAAGCACAGTGTATTCTTTTTCAGCAGTAATGTGGGATAGGCTGCGTGTGTGGACGTGTGATGTCACGTGTGTTCTGTAGGAGCACTCACTAATGTCAAAGAGCCAGAGGGGACAAGAGAGGCTGGTGTAGGCGCACTCCAGCATGCCTCCAAACACCCACAGGAAGCCCTGAAACGACAGCAATACATTCGGAAGATGAACGGGACAGCAGGCGCTTATTAATGGGAGCTTCACTGCTACAGGTGAAGCTCGTAAAAAAGAATATGGTTCAAAAGTTAATTTACTTCTATAATTCAACTTACAGTGTACATCTGTAATAATGTGGAGAATTGGCTGACAGCTTGATTCCAAAAGGTCCATTTTGTCTTGAGCTTGTAAAATATTGTGGCATACGTATTGCAATTATATCAATTATTAATTGTCATTTTGGGACATTGCAAAAGTACTTATCAAAAAAGTAAATACAAAAAGTTATGGAGGATTGAACTAGGATGTATCGGTAACAGGCTAGTATCACTTCATTATTGCAGAAATATATTGAACCAAAATGGTGCAGCCCTAGCACACAGGTGACTGAGTTGTCCCAGGCGTGTACCTCGTGGGCCACCATAGAGTGCTCCTCCAGTGCTTCTGGGGCAGCTTCACTGGTGCAGTTCAGCTCCCTCCATTCGTTACACACTGGAAAACAACACATGTAGTTGTGCTTTAGAATCTAGAATGTGCATTTGATACAAAAACAAAATGTGTGCACCAAGACGAGCTGTGGTAGCTTTCCAAAAGAACGTTTCTTTTATGACAACTGCACTGAGTATTTAATGTCTTTAAAAAATGTTCTCTTTTGCATTCTTAAAAGGAGCCCTGTGAGTCACTACAGTGGCCCAAAAGCTTTTGGAAGTTCTCACATTTCTGCATAAAATCAGCTCAGTGATTGGACATACAGAAAAAAAAAACTGCTATTGATTTCTCTCAAAGTCTCTTTAGACAGAAGGTTCCGTGACTTATTCCTCCCCCTCCTGTTCTTGTTTGTATGCAAACATCATTAAAATATGTGTGAAGGGTTCAGTTAAAGCAGATTGTTTTTCATCCCTGTGATTTTATGTGGAAATGTAAGAAATTCTAAAAGCTCATCTAATGATGCGAGAGGCCATCAACACAATTGATTCTGTCTTTTCATCACGCAAGGGAGGACTGCGAGACGCTCCCGACCCTGACGGGACGGCAGCTACGGCCTACACCTACAATAGCTGGGGGAAGTGGAACCCGTTATGCTCGGCGCCTCTGTCTATCGAAGACGTTTTTATCTTTGGATTTATGGTACAGTAGTATGGATTTCTCCTTATTGGGCTCGGAGGTGTTGTTGGAGGGATGGCAGCTCACATAATTTATGAAAAGTTGTCCCACGAAAACGGAAAGAGTACATGGAGTTGACCCGTGTGGTGGTTGAGAGTGCAGTGGGATCAAAAAAGTGCGAAACCTTAGGGAGGCCTAAATGACAGCATGCTCTACTCAGATGTTGGGCCTATAGGCGAACTGCAGCAGGTCCAGGGTGGGGCTGACCATGGAGTAGAGATGGTTGAGGATAAGCCGCTCAATGGTCTTCGTTTTTGTTGAAATTAGATTTAAAGAAGCAATAACCGTCAACAATAATATTTGCTGTTGGAGAATAGTTGGACCAATGGCACAAATTTTAATTTATTTTGTCCAATCAGGACAATCACTGACACTTGAGCTCAAGTTTTTTCTCTTTCTCTTCATAAATTGATAACTGACTTTCAATCTTAAAGGCATAACAAATATGTACAAAAACAGCAATATTAGCAGGCTCTCTGTGGGGGCCACCAAAAACCCCAGGGATAGATACAGACTTTTTAGTTGGGCACCCCAGCTTTAAGTTGTGTTTGATTTTGCAAACATATATCCTATGATGTCAATGGAATATTTTTTTTCAAAATTATGATTTGTTTTGAATTTGGGTTCATAGGCAAGGCAAGTTTATTTGTATAGCACAATTCATACACAAGGCAACTCAAAGTGCTGAACAAAACAAGAAAGCATTAAAATCATAAAGTTGTATGCACAGCTAAACAGAACTGTTTTTAACCTGGTTTTAAACATTGTCAGAGAGGAGGCCTGTCTCACATCTTCAGGGAGATTATTCCAGATTTTAGCAGCATGAATCTGAAAAGCAGCCTCCCCATGTTTAGTTCTGACTCTGGGCACTAACAGGAGTCCAGTCCCTGTGCTCCTCAGAGTCCGGGCTGGTTCATATGGGACTAACATGTCACTAATATATTTTGGTGCGAGGCCATGGAGAGATTTGTACACAAGCAGAGCTGTTTTAAAGTCTATTCTCTGAGCCACAGGAAGCCAGTGCAGAGACCTGAGAACTGGACTAATGTGGTCGTACTTCCTGGTTCTAGTCAGGACTCGAGCTGCTGCATTTTGAATGTACTGCAGCTGTTTTACAGCCTGTTTGGACAGACCTGTGAGCAGGCCATTGCAGTAGTCTAACCTACTGGAGACAAATGCATGGATAAGAATCTCCAAGTCTGCTTTAGACACTATGTTTTTGATCCTGGCAATGTTTTTTAGATGGTAAAAAGCTGCTGATGTTACTGATTTGATGTGGCTATTAAAATTTAAGTCTGAGTCCAGTATTACCCCTAGATTTCTGACCTTGTTTGAAGGTTTTAGGGAGAGAGACTGTAGATGACAGATGACGCTCTCTCTTTGTTTCTGGTCGGGGGGGTGGTCAGAGCTGCACCCAGTACACAGAGCACCAGCCCCTCACTGATCCTCCTGCAGGTGGTGAGTCCACAGGAGCTGAGATCTTTCAGTTGGGGCTTTGGGCAAAGTGGGGTTAAGTGTCTTGCCCAAGGACACAACGACAGCAGTCATCAGTGGGAGTCGTGAAGTAGGTCTTACGGTGGGCTCGAACCCACGACCTTCAGGCCCAAAGGCCAATGCTCTACCAACTGAGCTACTGTCGCCCCAATATATAATATATATAAGTAATTTATAATTTATAGGAGGAGAATAGAAGCTGTTAGAACTCATCAGAAAGACCGAACATTCGACTTGGGTCACACATAGAGGAATATGCAGCAGGTGAGAAATAAAGACAAAAAAAGATTATCAGACAGAAGCAAAATCTGACAAATTTATTATGGTATCGTTATCGACAAAAGTGGCAAATTGATCTGAGAAACTGGAGAAAAACAACAGAAAATCTGCTAAAAATTATAGCTTGTGCTGGTTCCTCTTATTTGCATGGATTGAGCTAAATACAGCTTCAGGTCTGTCTTTGATGAGGGAGCAATTCTGTAACAATGAGTATGTGTGTATAACTATGGTCCTCACCCACGTTGTAGGCCCAGAAGTCCCGCTGGCAGGTGGAGTGGCGGCCCCCCAGCACATACACATACTGTTGGTGACTGCAGCAGGCCAGTCTGGAGCGTTCACAGGGGGACGGGCTGCTCTGGGGGAGCCGAGTCCAGAGACCAGGGCCAGTCTCACTCATGGGGCCTCACCTACACACACAGGACATACACACAGGACACACAGTCAGACAGTTTTATTATACTTAAATGACACACACAGAAGAGATGATCCAGGACACGATTTGCATGTCAAGTCATCAATCATTAAATGGCCTAATATGTCAAAAGGCATTAATAAACCATTCTCTTTTAGAGTAATTCTTTAATTGATAATAGCAGTTCAGCCGGGATATTCAAATTTCAAGATTGGATTTACAGCCCCTAAATCTTGTAATTGTTTTCATTTCAATGTCCCGGCCTCCAACGTTTTACCAATCAGTAAATCTGCGACCCAGGTTGGCAGAACTCACCGCGTTGAGCTAATCTCATGGTAAAGTAACACGCCGCACGTCAAGCCGCAGTACTAGATAAGGTCTCCTTATGATTCTCAAATCATTCATGACAAAACGAGGAATAAAACAAGGATTTCTATCGGGGATGCCTTTGTGAAAAATATGTTGGTTATAGATTTGTTGTTGACAAAACTCTTGTCTATTCAGCTATTATGCACTGTGTCAGGGAGAGTGGTAGCCTGGCCATAGCCATCCGTACACGCCGCTCAATCATCATCTGGGTCTAGTCCCTGTGTTAGCGATTACAATCGGTCGTATTTCGACCGGCTACTCAGAGAGCGCGTTGTAGGTCGTTGCCGGTGACGTCAAGAGTTTGCGCCGAACGGGCAGGTTGTAGTTTGGCAATGGCGAAGAATGCGATAGTAAAGAAATCCGGTCTGGTTCTATCAAGAAATTGAAGCAGGAGCAAGAGGAATGTTTAGCAAATGTAATCGCTGGTCAAGATTGTGGCGCTACTCCCCACGGGCTCCGGTAGCAGCAAAAGAGATGGCTAGGCTAAATGCTAACAACTTACTTGGGCGCATTACATGCGTCACGGTAAACTCAGATCCAATCGTTTCAATCTGCAAAAGGAGTTAACCCCTCCCACCTGTTCACGGAGCTTAATGGAGCAAATCCAGACCTTAGTATGAAATGAAATTTGTACTAAGGTGTGGTACAACCAGGCTAGGAAAGTGGGAGAGGACTACAGAATATTGACCGTGATTGCAGTACCACTTTTGGCCAGATTTTTTATTACATATGCTCCTTTAACAAGACACTTAACCCCCTCGCCTCCCAGTGTCACTGGTGTGTGATTGTGTACGTGTGCGTGCGTGTGTGTGTGTGTGTGGGTAATTGGTTCCTTGATGTGACGTGCTTTGAGTGCCTTGAAAATGTAGAAAAGCACAATATAAACGTTTCCTGTGAAACCTTTTTTCACAACAAAATTATTTCACTACAATCACAAATTACAAATACAAATAACAAAAAGTCTAAACGGTTGAAAGTGAAGTAGTATCAGCATTCTCTAAAAGACTGCAGCCTGCGTGAAACACAGTGTGGCACACGTGCCTGAAACATCAGCTCTGAGAGGAAGTGTGGAGGAAGCTAAACTGCAGGAAAAGCTGAAATTGAACATTGGGCACATACATGATGAGCAGAGAAATAATCCATACAAGTACGTACCTTTCTTGCTGTTTTCTACCTGTAAATGTTACTGCAGTACAGTGTTCCAAGTTTAACACTGATCCATACCAGAGCAGAGAGGATTCACGGACCGAACCAAGCAGATCAAGCAGAAATCTACTGGAGGAATGCTAATTTCTTTGAAAAATGCTAACAAAGCATTTAGAATTTTACTCTGGACCAGAGTGGAGAAAATGGTCCAAACCAAGTGGCTACACCACTTCTGCTGTGACCTATCCTGCTCCACCCAGAGACAACACCATCTTTGCTGCTGTGACCTAAAGTGCTGATGCATTTTAATACTTTTTTTTTTTTGGTATGGATGCATGTGTTCTGCCACTGGACACCTGAATTTCTCCTACGGGGGATCAATAAAGTATCCATCTATCTATATGGATCTATATAAATAAAGATTACTTACTTACTTAATAACCAGACTGGATCTTTCACTTGATGTTATATGGCTATTTACTGACGGATTTAACCCAATACACTGTGTAAAAATTGACAATGCTAATGAAGAATTTGACAAAGTCTGGGATTGTGTCTTTAATTCAGACAGAATACATGTTTTATTGTCGATGGTAGACAGCACGAACAAAGATGTAACAGAATGCAAGTGATATTATACAGCATGGAGGAATGGAGACCGTCCAATAGCATTTGCCACGGTGCCAGAAGCTTCAACCTTGATATAACCAAAACATGCAGCGGAAAAGTACTGCCTCGTGCATACTATTAGAATGATGAGTTAGAACTTTAACAACAGTTGCTTCAAAGTGTCATGAAATATCCAAACTTACCTACTAGCTCAATGAAGCCCAATAGGGAAGAGCACATGGGCAAGTTTCACTATGCTCCATCTTGCTCTGGCTTCTTTTCACTTACATTGAAAAGTAAAATCCTCTAGCTCAGTGTCACATTAACAACACTCCCCATTTTAAGCTTAAAAAGGTTCTCTTTGCGAACCTGGGTAAAAGTGTTTGTAAAACATATATAATCCATCAAAGGTCCAATCAGATGTCCTCACAAACTCCACCTAATGCCCTGGCCCCTGTCCCACCTGCTGCGATGGGAACAATGACACCGCAGCACGTGAGCGGTGACTCTGGCTGTTGTCATGGCTGTGTCAGGGGGGAGCGGCAGCAGAAGGAAGCTCTGCTCTGGAGGAAACTTCCCTGGGGAATGTTCAGCCCAACCTGTGTGGACTTTGGAATAGCATCAGAGAAAACTATTGTTTGTGAGGAAAAAAACATAATAGGACTAATATTAGTGTCAGCATTTGGGGTTTTCAGAAAATGTATTTCAGTCCACCATTTCCTCAAACAATCTCCCCACTGTGGTGAGCTTGAGTAGGTCTCTCCATGGCCTCGCAAGTACCAGTACTTTATCTGTGACATTATGAACCAACTCAGACTCTGAGGAGTGACCTCCTGCTGGGACTCTGTGGAGCATTTGATAGATTACATTTGAAGTTAGTTGTTATTTTGAATCTACTTGTAATTACTGTAGCTTGTTCAGAACACTCAAACATCTAATATATTTTACATACTGAGAGCAGATAGGCTGAGTGAGAGTCTGAAAATCTGATCATGTGAAAACTGGTGATAGAACCAAGGGTTTTGAGAGCAAGGAACAACTCACAGTGATTTTATTTCATAGTTATTATTTGTGGTTTCAAAGTGAGGTACCCCAACATGTTGTTATTATGGAGTGTGACGGTATATCGATATAACGATATTATCGATTATCAATATGCATTTACCAAATATCAATTTTGAAAAAGGAAGAAATTTATATAATTGTTATTGTGAGCTTTATCGCGTATCGTATCGTGAGGTACCCTGAGATTCCCACCCCTATGACAGGGATAGCTGATTAATACTGGTTAATATTAGTCTTAAAGGTATAGGAGGATGTTTCAACATTTTAGGGAAAGAACCGCCCACTCCACTTATTTGACGAGCATGTATCCCCAGAATGATTGACAATTGGGAGCACCAATAGTCTTGATGATCCACCCGGAAGTATAAAATCCTCCTATCTACCTTTAAGTGTCACTTATAATTATTACACAAACAAGCCTCCCACAGAAAGTTACACACAAGCTTTTTACACATGGTTTTCAGAATGATGAGAGCAGCTTCAGAGACAGACTTATATATCCTTGCTATGATAAAGATAGGCTCTTCATCTTATCATCATCACTGTGAATATATGAACCCTCAGAGCTAATGACTTATTAGCCTAATATTTTTGCACTAGAGTGCATTACAGATCTATCTACAGATGTGTACACACAAGTATATAGAACTTTGCACTAGTCATCCATGACTACTACCTTCTCATTCTATGTTTCTTTATGAAGCTAAAGACATATATTTTTTTAAATTAATTTAACACTAGGACTCCCAGAATTTTTAAACTACTAGAACTCCCAGAGCCGTCATTTTGACTGGTCACATTCAAATAAATTGAATTCTGAAAAAGAAGTGAGAAATCATAAGTTTATTCTTTTAAAAAGTGCTAAAACTGCGGAATATAACTTCTTCTCTACTTTTCTACTCTAATTTCAAAATTAAAGGATCATTTCATAAATGAATAAAGACGTAAATATAAACGACATAAAGAAACAGAAATAGTTACAAAGTTATGAAGATCAGATATAATTACACTTCCAAAACTAACTTTGACTGCTCTGGGTGTTCCAGTGTTAAAGTATAGAGTTGAACTCTACTTAATACTCATTTATCTTGTGTTGTGTGTTCCTCATTCTTACTGTTTTGTAACGTTTGATGCAACACCGGCATTTCCCCACTGTGGGACGAATGAATCTTAGTTCGTTTTCACAGCGAGTGATATTATAAAACTATTAAATTACATCTTAAGAACTGTCCTCCAAATATTGAGGGGAACTGAACGTCAGGAATTATTCTCCAAGTTTTGTACAAGTAGAGGCTCGTTCAGGGGAGATCAAAAGCAGTGATCACACCGGATTTTAACCATAGACTTGCACGCTCTCTGTTACAAATGGAAAAGTGTAAAACAAAAGCAAAGTGTCATCCACGCGTCACGTGCCTCTGCAGACCGCGACACACCGCGACAAATCAGAACCCCCGGAGCTAACGGTGTATTTGGGCAAAAGGAGGCGGGAAGATGGGTCTCTTCTCGGGGCTCTGAAAGTGAAGGGAAGCTGCACTCACCGTTAGACGGAGGCGAAAACATGTTCACAGGGTATGTTAGCGACGTGTTTACAGGGACGTCCGAATGCAGTAAGAATGTATTAATAATGCAGTAGTAATGCAGTATAGTGCGAAGGACTCACAGCAGCTGGAGAAGGGCCGCTCCTCTTCGGCTCCTGTTCGCGTCTGTGTAAGGGGAAAACAACAGACGCCTTTGACTATGTGTGAAGGGAAAATAATCAGTCTCAGAAAACCGTTGTGAAGGGAAAAATAAAACCATAGTTTTGTGGGGCGTTCAAGGACAGTGGTATAGAACTATAATAACATATTTAATTGTTTATATCTACAGTATGGGCACTGGGTACAACTGAGACCATTTACCATTGACTGTAGTTGGAGTGGGGGTGACAGTGACTGAGTTGGTAGAGCATTGGCCTTTGGGCCAGAAGGTTGTGGGTTCGAGCCCACCACAAGACTTTCTCCACTGACTCCCAGTAGTGTTCGCTGTCAGTGAGTCCTTGGGGCAAGACACTTAACCCCACTTTGCCGGATGCCCACACTGAAAGATCAAGGCTCTGACTGCTACCCCCAACCTAATAATTGATTATGGGGAAGAAAGGAGTCTATGGAACTTACATATCATTATTGAATACTTAATAATTATAAGAAAATACATTGAATGAGACAAGAATAAATCCATAAGATAAGAAAATCTTTACTCGTCCTACAGTGGGGAGGTTTCAGTGATGCAGTAAGAGCACAAAAGGAGCAAATTAACCCTCATGTTGTGTTAGGAACCGGCAGCACTGCCCGTTGTTAGCAGGTCAATTTTGACCCGGGGTCTAACTCAGTCCTTAACATATACAGTCTATGGTCCTGACCAATAAAAAGAAACAATTATCACTTGATATAGTTAATACTACATCTTAACTAACATCTATTTTTTATTTGATTTTATGGCCTTCGAGACAGATCTTGTCGCTTATTTTTAAGCTGAAAATAAGGTTTTTTCAATCATAATTTACTAAATGTAAAATCCATAGATAATAATGTTTTCTAAGTATAATAGAACAATATTATAAAATAACTTTTGAAATAAGTTGAGCATATGTAAATATTTTAATAATAGTTACCTTGGTGGTGTTAGGGTCAAATTTGACCCGTGTAGATTTGTTAGTAAAAGGGGCCTTTGTTCTTCAGAAAAGGACTTTTTTTTCAGAAAACACTACTTTTCTGAAAGTTTTCTGGAGTTTGGTCTGAAAAGCTCTAATGCAGTCTTCATGTCTTGGATCTGTGAGTTTGCAAATCAAGTGGGTCCAGGGCTCATTTTTATGATGTTTGCTGATTTTGCTCTGCCTTCATTTTCATACGGGTTTGAGACCAAACCTTTTCATTCTTTGAAACAAAGCCCTGTTCTGCTCATTCAGTCACTTCTTCATCTGAATCTGATGTGTCTTCATCTTGATGTGGTTCATCCACAAAATCATCCTCGGATACATCTTCCTCTATTTCAGCCTGATCTGGCAGCATTGTGGCTGAGAGAATAGCACTGCTGCTTCTCAGCAAGAAGGTTCTGGATTCAAATCCTGGTCAGAACAGGTGCCTTTCTGAGTGGAGTTTGCATGTTCTCACTGTGTATGCATTGGTTTCATCCAGGCGCTCCGGTTTCCACTGCCACTAAAAACATGGACAATAGGTAAAATTCTCCAGTTCTGGTCCTGATCAAGCCAAGCATCAACATCTGGAGATGTTTACACAGCAACCTCTGCTCCTGATAGAGAACCTAGTAGCACTTGCAGGATGGGTCAAATGCAGAGGTAAAATTTTCCTACGGGACAATAATGTGCACATCCGTCTCCTCCAAAGACTCTTCCTCTATGAGGATGTGATTAAGAACCTCATGGACCGTGTAACGTAAAGGTAAAGGTGCATTTTATTTATCTCCAAAGGGCAATTCCTCCTCTGCATTTGACCCATCTTGATGCGACTAGGGCCTTTGTAAGGAGCAGTAGTCGCTGTAGTACTGCACCCAGGACCCAACTCCAGATGTTGATGCTTGGCTTGGTCAGAACCAGAGCTGGAGGATTTTATCTAGTGCGCATGTTTTATGGGAAAAGGGAGCACCTGGAGGAAACCTACAAAGGCACAGGGAGAAAAAAACTACACCCAAAAAGGCCCTGTTCAGTACAGGATTCAAACCCAGGATCTTCTTGATGAGACGTAAAGGGGTTGTCTGCACGTGCAAAAAAGTGTCTAGTCAGGTTAAGTATGAGTACAACATTTCATCTTTTTGTTCACAAAGTGTAAAATGTTAGTATGTCATATCTCACATGCGTGGGTCACATACTGTACTGTGAGAAATGATTTGTTCTCGTAGAGAGAGGGGATGAAGGTGGGGTCACACCTGTATTGTACTCAAGTAAATATTTATTCATGTAGAGGGGGTGGAGGAGGTCACATATTTTGATGTGAGAATAGATTTTTTCTCTTGGTGGAAGGGGGTGGGATCAGATAATGTATAGTTTTACCTGTATATAGTGTAGTTTTACTTTACCGGGTCAAAAATGACACTAACACCACAGTCGTAACTTTTTTTCTGCCGATACTTTCAGAAATGTCAAAATTGTAAAACATAGTTTTTCTGTGTTTATATACGTGTTGTGGAGGATATCATTAAGCCTCATTCTCATAAGATCAATTACATGGAAGTTATTACATATTATAACCATGAAACGGGTTGCTGGAGACCCTAACACAACATAAGGGTTAAGCATAAGCAGCTATGAGCTAAGTAGCTATGAATGCTTCATAACAACAACTTGGCCTTTGGCCAGAGGGTCGTGCACCATGAGACCTTCTCCACTGACTCCCACTGATGTCTGCTGTCGTTGTGTCCTTAGCCTTAACTTTAACTTTAATCTTAACTTTGCCTGAACCCTCCGCTGAAACCTCAAGGCTATACTTTCACAGACAGAGCAGCCATCCTCTTGTGGACTCAATACCTGCAGGAGGGTCAGTGAGGGAATGGTCCTTTGTGAATTGGGAGCAGCTCTGACTGCCACCCCAACGGCCCAGAAATGGATTAAGGGGAAGAAGAAAGCTGGATGGATTATTATCTTGCTCTCATTATATTCTTGAGACCATAGACAGTATATAACTTACAAATATGTAGCTACTGTCAATAGATTACATTTTAAGTGACTTTCCTTGGTCTCCCCAGGGAAGCTTCCAGGAGGCATCCAAAACAGATACCCAAGCTACCTCAACTGGCAGCTCTACTAAGAGCTCTTCCCGCTTGACTGAGCTCCTCACCCTATCTCGGAAGAAGTGCCTGCCACTCTTTGGAGACTGCTTGTATCCGCAATCTCGTTCTTTTGGCAATTACCCAATTTTTGTTTTTATTATATGTTGGTCATTTGAGCAATTTCTAACTGATTAGAATTATGATAAAGCATTACAGTGCATATTTGTTTGATTTGTTTAAAAAACAAGTAATCCCAAAGTGTACAGTTGACTCAATGGCAGCTCAAAAACGTCCAGAGCATAATACATCCAGATTCTCTTTCATTAAATACTGTATATATTATAAAACAGTACCTGTCCTGGTCCTGCCCTGGTCCTAGCCAAGCATACCCGTAACACAAGGTAAAACTTGCATTTTGAAGGCCTAATTTTATTATAACTTTTCAAACATTGATACAAAATAAATAAATGTACATAGAATATCAAAAATATAACCATAAAAAGATAAAGATGACCACGTAAATACGGATATTTACAAGAGACGTTCACTTCTCACGAGAGGGGAATTTGTTATGCTATAATTGTCCATAAATGTTCCACCAGAAGAGCAGTGTGGCCCCCTCTTCTGGGGCGGCACTGGGCAGTGTGAACAGTGCGTTTAGAACTGAGTGTTGTTATCGTGGGCCTTGTTCTTCTCCACATGGTTCTCATGGAGCTCGAAGCCTCCATTCTCCAGGGCTTTGTGTTTTTTCGCGTGTTCCTCTCCATCTTCCACCGCCAAGGCCTCGCTGTCCTCCTCAGAATGCCCCCTGCATTTTCTCTTGTACAACTGGTAAGCTGCAAATAATCACAACACAATTTGTATAAGTGAGTGTGTTTACAAAGCATGAGTGAAAACCCTCCAAGTCTTCAATTTATTTTGATTCAACAAGATCCATATAAACCTGTGTTCTCTGACTGAGATGTGAAAAACCAGTCTGTTTGGTGTAACTGCATCAAACCAGTTCTAATGTGTTTACACTGCATGTAACCATGCAAACCAGATTTCTAAATGTGTGTGCACTTTATTTATCCCTGTAGGGAACTCTGCATTTGACCCATCCTACAAATGTAGCTCGCGAAAATTCAATTTGGTAGACGTCAGCCAAAAGCTACCCCCTCCAGGCCGGTTCGCTTCCCCAGCCTATCGCTCGGCAAACGCCCCCTTCCAATCATCCGTGCCGGACAGGCAGCCGCTTAAAAGCGGAGCAACTCCCACTCTCTGCCTTCTCGAAGCCTCGCAAGCTCCTGAAGCCTTGCAGAGAATCGTCTGGAGGAATCGTTTTCGTCTACTCACGCTACTCGGCGCGTCCCTGGCGTCCTCCGTCTGGCTGCTTGTGGTCTGCTCCTCCTCCGCGTCCCCGCACTGGTCTGCTCCTCCTCCGCGTCCCTGCACTGGTCTGCTCCTCTTCCACGTCCCTGCACTGCTGTGGTTCGCATATCCCCACTGCTTTCCTCCTCTGCGGGCTCTTTCTGCGGGCTGCTCCGCGGGGCCCTCCGCGGGTTTATGTGCGGCTCGTTCCTTGTGGTCTGCTGCCGCACGCAGAGGTCTGGCGGTGCCGCGTTGTCCCGTTGCTTTTCCCAAGTCTCCTGGCATGTGAGTACAGTGTGTGTGCCGACCGCGGACAGATTAATCCCGGAGTTCTGGGCTGCAGGCGGCTGGTTTTTGCCCTACGCACTTGACTGCAGGCGCCAGTTTTTTCGCCCCGAGCTTGGTCTGCAGGCTCCGTTTCACATGTGTTTGAGCTAACTGAGGGGCAATGCATATTAAATGGCATCAATCTCTATCGTCTGAGGGATATACGAGGAGCTATGTGCATTAATTCAGATCATGTTCTGCCACTTGCAGTAAAACCATGCATAAATAGCTAGGTCGCTGGTATTAAATTAGGTAACTAACTGCAGTGTTGCATTTTTGAAAGTGCAGCAGGAAGAAAAAGGGCCGAACGTGAATCTGCAATGGGTGGAAATAGTGTTGGAGCTATGAACGCATGGATCAGTGGTCGTTCATGCGCATGCGCATCTGCCATAACCAAAGCAGAAGATGGCTCCAGGGGACGTCTGTTATTCGCATGGGAATGTTTCGGATTCGGGTTGATTTATTCCCTCAGGCTCTTAAACAACCGTGGGTTGGTTCTCTGACCGCCGCTGCTGCCGGTCCCCGCTGCCGTTCCTACTGATGCCTGATCCCGCCGCTGCTGTTCCTGCTGCCGCTCCTGCTGCTGCCTGTTCCTGCTGCCGCTCCTGCTGCTGTCTGTCCCTGCTGCTGCTCCTGCTGCTCCTACTACTACATGTGCCGCTGCCGTTCCGCAGGCTCCCAGGCTGCACCCGTCTCTGTGGCTCGGCTCTTTCAGACACGTACGTAACCTGGCTCACGGAGACAAGCGGCGCACGCCGGCGCGACACGTCTGTCTGTTCGTATGAATCGCTTCGTGGTGCTGCTGCTCCTGCTAATGCTGCTTCTGCTGCTTCATACTGTTACCGCTACTGCTGCTACTGCTGCCGCTGCTGCTTCATACTGCTACTACTGCCGTGCTGCTGCTGCTTCATGTACTTCGTCATCTCTCTTCACTTCGCTTCTCTTACTGAAACACTAAACAGCTACAACATATTCTACTGCCGTGGCTTCGATACAGGGTTTTGCCGTTATTATCTACGGATGCAGCAGCTGCTGCTGCCGCGGCTGATACAGGTCGTTGCCGTTATTATCTGAGGTTACTGCCGCTGCTGCTACTGCTACTGCTACTGCTGCAACCCACTCTCTCAGAAGCTTATCCTGCTTCTAATGGATGCAGCCCGGCCGAGTATGCCGCGCGGCACTGGACTCGCACCTATGCTCCCAGGGTCACTTCGGCGGTCGTGCTTCATCTCTCTACTTAATCTTCTGATTCTATCAGATGCAGCTGGCCGAGTAGCTGCGCTGAGCCGTCAATTGGACTCCTAATCAAAGGCATCCATACCGTGTTCTTCACTCTTCTGATCGCAGGCTCCCCATCATGCTGCCCATCCTGCAGCGGCACTGAACTCCGGCTCATCTTCCAAGTACATGTCTGCCCTCCTCGCAGCATCTTCCTGCTCGCCTTCCATGGCTTCTCTGCATAAGCGTTCACTACTGCACACTCAACCTTCGTGCGGTCCGAGACACGGCTTTTCCCGACCATCCTACTATCCTGATTATCTACTTTCCAACCCAAGATTCTAAGCGTAAGGGCGCCTGCAACTTCATGGCCCTCTCCGATATGTCTCTGCCCCTCCAGGTCTCGGCTTCTACACGGACGTGCCCCTTCCGTGGGTTTTGGGGGGTTTATTTCCAGGACCATCGCGGCCTCGCTGGGGCTCCCCCACACCTCTCTGCAACAGCTGGGGCGCCGGTCCTCTGCGGCTTTCTCCGCCTACATCAGGCCAGACGCGTCCGCTATCCTGCCTGCACAACGTCAACTGGCTTCCTCGTAAGCTCCCAGCAAAGCAATACGAAGCAAAGTAAGTGAACCAATAAGATTCTGGTGGCGGCACGCACTTCTCTCAAACACTCTCCGCTGCCGCAGCGTCTGACGGAACGTGATGCGAGCGCTCACGTTCCCAGCGCGCAAAGACAACCCTGCCGCAGCGTCTGGTTGATCGTGATGCGAGCGCTCACGTCCCAGCGCTCAAAGATAACCCTGCCGCAGCGTCCGGTTGATCGTGATGCGAGCGCTCACGTCCCGGCACTCAAAGATAACCGCATATAACGGTCACAGCACATAGTGATAGCGGTCATAGCGTTAGTGATAGCGGTCATAGCGTCAGTGATAGCGGTCATAGCGTCAGTGATAGCGGTCATAGCGTCAGTGATAGCGGTCATAGCGTCAGTGATAGCGGTCATAGCGTCAGTGGTAGCGGTCATAGCGTTAGTGTTAGCGGTCACAGCATAGCAAAAAATGGTTAGCGCATAAACGGTTCACAGCATAGAGATAGCGGTCACAGCATAGCGATAGCGGTCACAGCATAGCGATAGCGGTCACAGCATAGCGATAGCGGTCACAGCATAGCGATAGCGGTCACAGCATAGCGATAGCGGTCACAGCATAGCGATAGCGGTCACAGCATAGCGATAGCGGTCACAGCATAGCGATAGCGGTCACAGCATAGAGTAGCCACGACGTCTGTTCCCTGCAAACCAGGCTGCAAAACTCCATCAACACACTCAGCCTTTTTGGGGATTGTACGCGCTCCATCGCAGGAGCCTCTCCGATCTGAAGGCCGCACCGGGGCCTAGGGCGCCAAACCACCTCAATAAATACTCAAAACCATTTTCGTTTCTCGTCTCTCCAAATTGAAATGTAGCTCGCGAAAATTCAATTTGGTAGACGTCAGCCAAAAGCTACCCCCTCCAGGCCGGTTCGCTTCCCCAGCCTATCGCTCGGCAAACGCCCCCTTCCAATCATCCGTGCCGGACAGGCAGCCGCTTAAAAGCGGAGCAACTCCCACTCTCTGCCTTCTCGAAGCCTCGCAACCACCGCCTCCCCTCCTCCTCCTCTTCACCCTGCCTCCAACCTGCCTCCAATCTGCCTCCAATCTGCCTCCAATCTGCCTCCAATCTGCCTCCAATCTGCCTCCAATCTGCCTCCAATCTGCCTCCAATCTGCCTCCAATCTGCCAAAATGCCGCCACCAGTGCCTAGGTCCCGGGGGATTGTACGCGCTCCATCGCAGGAGCCTCTCCGATCTGAAGGCCGCACCGGGGCCTAGGGCGCCAAACCACCTCAATAAATACTCAAAACCATTTTCGTTTCTCGTCTCTCCAAATTGAAATGCCACTAGGTCCTCTGTTAGAAGCAGTGGTCGCCATAGTACAGCACCTGGGGACCCATCTCCAGATGTTGATGCTTGGCTTGGTCAGGACTACCGGAGCTGGAGGATTAACCTAATGTGCATGTTTTTAGTGATAGGGGAAACCGAAACACCAGGAGACCACCTATTCAGACACGGTGGGAAAACGTGCAAACTCCACTCAAACAAGACCAGCAGATGAATTTAAGAACACAGGGAGAAGCCATGCTTATATTAGAAATGTATTTATTTGGACACATAAATGTTACTCATTTTGATCAATGTAATGCAGTACTGTTGTGCTGCTGCAGTTGAGGCTCCATCCTCTCAACCAAACATAGTAGAAGGAGTGGACTAAAACTGTTGGCTGAATGCTGAAGAATTTGATTAGGGGAGTGGCCGTATTGGATAATTTGGAGCCACATTCTTTATATGGGAATTTGAGTTTCGCATAACATGGTAGATAAGGCAATCTGGAGTTTATGTTAAAGACCAGTATAAACTAATAACACAGGGACGACAGAGAGACAAACGGTTCGTGAGTTGAAGAAAAACTTTGTACAATACTTCATTGAGCTAGCAGGTTAGCATTGTCCATGTATAGTCTATGTGGGTGCATCCCTAGATAATGTCTACTTAGTTTGGATGATTATGATGCATTAGATTGTCTACGTACAGGTTACAATGGAGATGGCTGCCACCAGTTGGAAGATACTGTAGATCAGGGGGAAGGAGAACATGATCTCCAGCTCTGCAGGCGTGAAGGACAGCTGTACAATGGTGCTGCACAGCTGGGCGTTCTGGAAACCTGTCTCCAGGGCGATGGTCCGACATCTGGGAGATCCAACAGGAAGTGGAACCGTAAACATGTAATACGATCATAATGAAGTCATGTTGTCACCTCACCTGAACCAGGGCTGTCCAGTGAAGCGAGCCAAGAAGAAGCCCAGTCCAGAGCCAATGAAGGGGTAGATGGTCCCAATGATCCAGAGTGCTGGATCTATGTCCCATGAGGACTGATACAGAATCCCTCCCACCACAGCTATCACCACAATCAGACCAAAGCCAGTGATGGAGCCAATCTGAGCAGAAATAATGTGCATTTAGAGGGAAATTCAAATAAAATCTTATAAAAGTTATCACATGCTTCGTACCTTGAGGATCTTTTTGGCCTTCTCTGGCCATCTATGCTTGACGTAAATGCCAACGGCAATGGGGACGAGCAGCGCCACAAGGGTGATCCCTGCGTTAAAACATTCTTGAAAAATGGTGCAGAACAATAGAAATAGTGTAGACCTAATGAACATTTGTGCACTAACCAATACTGTCGTAGGGGATCTGGATGGTGTCGGCGGACACCCAGAGCGTGGTGTAGATTAGGAGACACAAAGGCATCATGCCCAGGGCCAGGATGGAGGAGCAGGCCGTCATGCTGATACTGAAACACAAAACGTGTGAATGCTGTGAGGTGGAAAGCACAACTCTGGCAACTCCTTCCACTCGCTCACTCACCTCAGGTCCATGTCCCCGTCCAGGTAGTAGCAGATTATGTTGGAGCCGGAGCCTCCAGGACAGCAGCCCATGATGATGATGACCACCGCCTGCACAGGCAGCACGTTGAAGGCCAGTGACAGAGCGAAGCCGGTGAACGGCATGATCCCAAACTGACAGAGGAACCCGATCATGATGCCCCAGGGCCTTCGCAGGTGTCCCAGCAGCTTGTGCACATCCACAGTGCAGCCCATGGAAAACATGACAAAAGCTAACATGACTGTGAGCACAGTGCTCAGCACCAGGCCCAAGATGGCATTAAAGTCACTGGGAGGAACCACACAGCTGGTTCCTGAGCACACCGCAGCCTCAGCGGGACAGTCCATGGGCTGGGCAGCAATGGGCCTGAACAGGGCCATGTTAAATCCAAAGGTCCCGTTTGCTCTGGGGAAGACTGTGGTCCCAATATTGGTCACCAGGCTTATGTAGGCTTCCAACGAAACTATGGGAGGGAAATCAGCTGGAAAAGAACAATCAAAAATTAACCCATTCTTTATGAGTATTGTAAAGTTGACTAAATGAGATTGCCCAATGTTCGGGCTTTTACGACTTTATAAAGTCTTTAAAGTTTATTGAGAAGCTTTGGCCTGCAGCAGCAGCATCCATTGACAGAAGATGCAAGGATCGACCACACCTTGTGCACAACGCCATTTACGACTTTGAAACATTAAATCACTAAGGGGAGCGATAAGGATTTATTTCCTTCAGATCAAAAACTATGTAACAATGATTGGGCATGAAATTATCCAAACTGCACGGTTGGGAAGGTATCTGCTCTGCGTGGAGATATCATGTATCAGAGTATAGCTTTAATAATCTGTGTGAATGCATGTTTTATCTAAATTAAATACTGGATTGCATGTGGAAAAACTTAGATAACAAAAATTACTTAAAATACAGGACATGTGGATTAGGTTAAACAAGCTAAATTACAGTGAAGTGTGAGATCAAACTTTCAGAGGGCATTGTTACAGCTAATAAAAGTTTGTGCACGTCTTGCATTTATCACAGAAGTCTCCAGGACACTATTCACAGACAAAGAGCCAATAGCTTCCTTTAAAATGAGCTCAGACAAAAGGAACAGAAGTAGCATACCACACTTCAAACCATATAATTAACAAGAAAGTCATAAAGATATCGCTTACTTAGTTTGTGCTCAAGCAAAAGCTGAGAGCATAGCAGTCGTCCATATCTGCAAATTCCACTTCACCAAAGAGAAGCCCTCTGTACAATATTCTGTTTGTCTGCCCTTTCTGTTATCTGTTTCATAATGGCTGCTCTTGCTGCTGAGCGGAGGGGAATAATGCTTAACGACAAGTTAAAATTTGATTATCTGAAAACTCAAACTTGCAGGGGCACGTGCAGTCGCCCATTGTGTTGTGCTTTAAAGTGTGCACACTGCAGGCATACATTCTTTTCAGTTTATTTGTGTACAGCCCTGAATCACAATAGCAGTTGCCTCAGAGGCCTTTACAAGGTTGTTGATTCAGAAACAACAGATCAGAGAATCAATGCAATAATAACAAACACGTAGGAGCCGTTGGTCCATCAGGGGCGGATTACCACTGTCCATAAATGTTAATACATGTTCCTAAATACCCAGGATCATCACTGTCCTTTGACCCTCCTTGGTAAGGAACAACACAGACAAAAAACCCAATGGGAGAAAGAGAAACTTTAAGGAGGCCCACATTAAGAGAGGGATCCGCTCCCCCAGATGGACAGGCTATACAGTAGATCCACGACTGTAGAACAAAAGGCGGAGGAGGGTCAGCCTACGAGTCCGGGCCGGAGGAGACAGTCCCCAGAAGCAGATGAAAGAATCCGGATTCAGGAATCCCAATAAATTGCCATGATACAGACTATGGGACAGCTGAAGTTATAAGGATGACAGATACAGTAGGAAGAGGAGAGTGCAATAAGTTACAATACTTGTGGAGAAAATGTTTGGCCATATTTTGGAGATAAAGAAACTCTCTTGTTAGTGGTTGTCATGTCTTGTTTTTCTATTTTCAAATCATAAACTCCCCACCGACCCTGATCAGAAGTCTCCATCCCCCCGTTCTCAATAGTTTGTGTTGCAACTTCTAAGACAGCTCAAGAATGTTGTGTTAGTTGTGGATGAGGTTCTCTCTCTCTTTTGAATGCAGTGTGAGTGTTCATGGTTTTGGACTGGTCCAGACCGGAAAGGAGATAATTCATGGTTCGAAACAATCGGATCAGGCAAAAATCCACTGGAGGAATGCTAACTTTTTGAAAAAGGATAACAAAGCATTCAGCATCTCACTTTGGACAAGAGTAGAGAAAATGGTCCGAACCAAGCGGCTACTCCACCTCTGCCACCGTGACCTAAAGTGCTGTTGCATTTTAATACTATTTTTTAGAATGATCCATTTATTTGTTTTGTTTGTGTGGATGCATGTGTTTCTGCTGCTATTGGAAACATTCATTTCTTCTACGGGGATCAATAAAGTATCTATCTATCTATCTATCTATCTCTCCACTCCTCTCCTAATTGAACAATTATTACACAAATAATTGTTCAATTATTTGTATAATTCAACTTAAAATGTTAAACCAATTATTTATATAAACTCATTAAAAAGTGACATATGCTTTGTTATAATGTTTATCATGATTGCTTATAGTACAATTGCGTTATGTTTTAAATAGGTTTTACGTGAGTTGAATTGCAGAAGTCTTTTGAGCGAGATTCACCTGTATATACCCCGATGTGCACAAATAACATTTCCAATTCATGTATAATATTATTGTTTGTTCAATTCAATGCTTGAAAAGGTAAATTCTCTGAAAAAGATTCAAACTTTAAAAGTGTTCACACTACAACATTCTTATAGTCGGTCCATAGTTGAGCAGCGACTTCACTTTACTGTAGTTATTCATGACAAATGAATTTATTTTACTTTCCATAAAGGTCGATTGATTTGACTAAAGCCATTGGCCCTTAAGGGGCAGATGACCAATGTCCATAAATGTCTTTGAACGTCCTGAATCATCACCACTGTCTTTCTCCATCGGCAAGGAACAACTCAAAAATCCCTGTGGGAAAAAGTGAGAAACCCACAATGAGGGAGTGATCCGCTCCTACAGATGGACAAGCCATAGATCCAGGACTTAAGCCGTAGAGAAGAACTTCATCCATGAACTTAATTACTTTTAGGCTTCATTGACATAGCTTGTTAGCATATTCTGTCTGGGACCAATACAAGAATTTCAACATCAATTCAGTGAGGAACTGGGAGTCAGTGTAACTGTTATAATACTGGGATAATGTTGTCTTTTTGTTGTATTTACAATTGTGGCTGCAGCATTTTGAAACAGTTGCAAATGCCTGAAGGAGGACTTGTAAATGCAGTTACAGAAATTAGGTCTACTAGAAATTCATGCAAGAAGCAACTTTTCAATTTTGCGTCTGGAAGAAAAATTGCGAAGACACAAGATATTTTTCAGACCCTGACCCCCAAACACTGGGGAGCCCCATTTACACCAGCCCTACTTGGCCCTACTCTGCAATGCTCTACTCTACCTGGTTGCGTTATATTACGCTTTAGTATCTGTCACTGTACCCTAGCAACCAACCCACAACAAACCAGTGTCCAGTGAAATTCCAACGGTTTTTAGTAATTGGGTGATAGACAAGAGGGCTCGTCACATCTGTCTATCTTTCACAGAGCCAACACTTTTCTTCAAACTTGTCTGTGAACTCGAGCCGCCATCGCCAGGTCATCTTGCTCCAAAAAGCAGCGCTCATTAAATTCATTTCCCCTGTTTTATGTAACAAAGCACTGTGACAAATGCCGTGTCACAGTGCAACCTTGACCTTGTCACTAGCGTCCTCGTAAACGCGTTTACTGCTGCCTCTACAGTTTGTGATTGACTCCTTGGTGATTCAACAGTACTAACTATCTTCGATCAAGTGCACATCATGCATTAGCCCACATTGTCCAATACAGAGTGAAATGGAGCAGTATTGGTCCAATCTTCAGCAGAATCATGTAGCGTGACTGTGGTCCTCTTACTTGAAGGCCACTGGTGGTTTATTGTTATGTCATTACAGGCAATAAAAATGACAAAGAAATCATTATATGACAGAATGATAAAGCTTCTCTTTCAATGACAGCAACCATCAGCTGGGGTTTGATTCAGTTCTTGCTCTTCCCATATCTTTTAAAAAAGTATGGATGTATTAATGGGCGACAGTAGCTCAGTTGGTAGAGCATTGTCCTTTGAGCCAGAAGGTCATGGGTTAGAGCCCACCTAAAGACTTTCACCATCAATTCCCACTATCTGCTGTCTTTGTGTCCTTGGCAAGACACTCTGGGAACACCTGATACCACAGCACGGCGGCTGCGGCTGTAAAGTGCCAAACTGCCGTTGTGTCCTTAGGCAAGACACTTAACCCCCATTGCCTAGAATGAGACTGCTGTGTGTGAATGGTTGGTGGTGGTCGGAGGGGCCGATGGCACATACTGGTTGCCTCTGGTCGCCCCAGGGCAGCTGTGGCTACAGTATTATCTTATCACCACCGTGTATGGAGTGAAAGAATAATGACATATACTGTAAAGCGTTGTTGAGTGTCCAAAAAAGCGCTGTATAAAACCGATGCATTATTATTATCAAACAGAAGTCCAAGACTGTACTAGTCAACTAATGCTGATGTTAGACGATGTTAGGCAAAAAATGCAATATGCAATACACAGATTATGGTAGTAAGTCTTTATTAGAAGGAGAGGAACATTTTCCAGAGGTGCAACATGCCACGGTAGACTTGTAGCAATTGCTGATTCTCCGTGAAAGAAAAATGCATTATTTCTGTTCTTAATTCAATAGAAAATATATAAATCTACATGAAATATGCAGTAAGAGATGACAAGAATGAGCAGCACTTCCCATCTGTATGGAAGAAGTGTGAAAATGCGTTTGGATTTAGATTTTGATCGAACATGGCACAATCAACATAATTTGACAGATTTCCCATTACTAACTTAGAGACATACTTTTATTTTACACTTTGTTTTTTGTGTGCATAATACAAAACACAAGCAAATAACAACATTATGTATATGATGTGTCCTCAATTATGTTGCTTCTTGCGATGGTGGAATCCAAATGCGAAGTATATGCAATTTCTAAAATCACCATTGTGAATACGAATGTACTCAAAATAGTAACGACTGGACTTTCCCATGAGCAGATAAAACAGTTATAATACATATATAAAAAAGGCACTTAAATTAAGAGAAAAGCGACCTAATTTCTATTGTTTATTTGGTTGGGATGTGCATGTTCACACCCTCCGGATTGTAGTTTTGGGCCGAGTTGCATGGCGCCATGGAAAGAGCTCTGGTGTGTGCTATCCAGGTGGACACTGGGGTAGTCTTGCACAGTATTGCCAATGTGGTTTTACTGCAAATGGCAAATAAATTCTTGAATCTAAGACGCATCCATCACACTCAGTCACCCTGAACCCAGAACCACTGCCTTATTAGCCTGACCTTATATTTCTAAGCCTGTTTCAAAGCTATAAATACAGGGATAGACAATGTATATAGTAGTAGTAGCCTTTATTTCCAACAAACTTATCAGGATGCAAAAAAAAAAAAAAAAGTTGCAAAATCCTATGCTGTAAGAGAAATAATGTGATGTATCTTTGTGATTGGCTTTCTGTCGCTAAAACTGCGATTGGATTTGATATTGTGGAAACATGAGAGTTCTTGACATATCTACATTTACAGGTATACATATCTTTGTCCATATACAGTGTCTTGCGTAATTATTAATACAGCTTGAACAAACACAAATACTTTCTTATAAATATTTTACTGAAATGACCACGACAAAATAACAGATCATGATGAGGTGAAAGCAAAGTGATACATGATTACTATACTATATGGAATCCAGTGGGTCCAGAAGCTTTTCTTTGAATAATACCCTGTATTTGACTCCATCCACCTTCCCATCAACTCTCCCTGTCCCTGCTGAAGAAAATAAGGCCCATAACATGACGCAGCCAACCACATATTTGACACTGGAGATGGTGCATTGAGGGAGATGAGCAGCGTTAGTTTTGGATTTGAGCCAAAAACATTTCTTTTGGACTCTCTGACCACAGCATCTTTCCACCATGAATGTGCCCCCTGCCCTTCTTCTTGTGCCTTTATTTCAACCTTTTTTATTTCCCACTTGTCTATAAAGGGCACACTTGTGTAGTGTATGACTAATATTTGTCCCTTGCAGAGATTCCCCCAGGTGAGTTGTGGACAAATGCAGAATAACCATTGACCACGTGTCGGAATCTGCGATCAGTGTTGTCCTTGTTGCAGCTGTGAGTGTAGAAAAACAGCCAGGTCTTAATAGATTTGAAATTTCAGCCATAATAATTTCATTCAGGATGCTGTTTAGAAACCCAGCTCTGAGGCCCTCACAGAACAGCTATCATTACACGGGGAGGAGATTACACAAAGGAGGTCTCTATTTAATAGTTAGGGAAAGGTGTGATCATTCAGTACCTCTCGTATCGTTATGCTTCCACTTCACAGTTGTCTGTTACTTATTTGTAAACTTTCAGTAACCAATTCAATATAAAATCTTTTTTTTTTATGGTTGTGAACAACAAAGTTCCTGGTGTATTAGTACTTCCGAGAGGCTCTGTAATCCCCCAGTGTCCGGTCCAAAGAGTGGCGGGCTGTGGTCACGTGTTTGCGAGCTGCAGTCTCCCTGTGATGTGGGCCACGAAGCAGCGCAGCAGGTACACCCCCCAGAAGTTCAAAGAGCTGAGGCAGAGAGACACAACGTTAACAACATGAGTGAGTGTTCTCTCCTCAGAAGGACGTCTCATTTAGCTGCTCTTATCTTTTGAATAAACATACCACTGTGCATCGTAACCTATACGTGTTTTACAGTGTAATCTTTGATCCACACGAGGCGGCGCCGTTGTAAACGTGGTTCATGAGGTGCAGTCCTGAGCAGTGGTTAAAAGTCTGCCTGACGACTAAAGGGTTGTTGAGCACCATTCCTTTAAAAAACAGGATTTTCTATTTATTTTAAGACTTAATTGATCATTTGTATAATTGTATGATCTTTATTCATTCAATTCTCTTTATTTACAAAACTTAATTGTCATACAAGTCAAGCACACTCTAAAGTTTGTAGATTGGAAGGAAGTTGCATAAGCTCATAGGAGGGCCCCAAAACCAATACATGACATTGAATTGGTCTTTGTGTTATTTACGTGAATGGTAAATAAATCAGTGTGTCTGTGTGAGGACAGAGGACTTCTTTCATGAATCCATGGAGTTTACCGTATAGACACGCAATTCTAAGGATTCGTCACAGTGTTTGAGAGGGGAGAAATAAAACAACTCCAGTTCTATGTTTTATGAAGAAATATTCTCAAATTGAAGTCATTACATTTTTAACTGATGTGAATATATTTTTTTTTTGCATCATTGTTTAAAATGTATACAGTGGTCCCTTATTTATGGCTCTGGTTACGTTCTATTCATAACCAGCAGTAAGCAAACCTGTTGGTTGTAGGTCTGAGCGCTGGTGCAGCTGTCAAAAGCTGTGCATACACTGTAAAATACAGCTGCTACAGGAAGACCGCGGTAGTCCCCACTCCCCGTGCACATGTTTACCTTTAACCTCAGTGAGTTAAAGGTAAACATTTCCTCCTCACGCTCCATCTTTCTCCGTTTGCTGTAAGCACTAAAAACCCGCCACTGTGAATGCGGAAACACCCACCAGTGACAAGCGGTGAAGTTGGTGATTGGTGAGGCACTGACTTCAGCCCAATCAGATGAATACATATATCAGATAAATCAACAGGACCTACAGAGCGGCCTCTTCACTATTTGTTTGGCTACACCAGAATACGTTTCATGCCCGCATTGTTTACTCATACAAAACGCAAAAGTATGAAAAAGCACATTTAATGGTAAGGCCCATGTTATGGGCCTTACCTTGAACATGAACTGCACAGACCACTTCAGTTCAGACCAGTTTCATGTTTAAGTCCAGATAATAGTTTGAGCGTAGATATGTAATCCTCCATTTGGAAATAAGTCCAATGAGTTTTAAAAAGTAAAACAAAACAGATGTCTCCTCCATAAACTCCTCTCGTGTTTAGCTAGCTGCAGTCGAATCTCGGGTGCATCCAATTTCTAAAATCAACCTTCTTACCCTTCCCCTCTCTTTCTTATCATTCCTGGAACATTACCCTAACTGCATTATAAATTATCTTAAAATGTGTTACATGTATGTTAGCCTAACCTGTTGCTGCCAGATGAAGAACAAGAAAGGAGCTTTACGATGGAATCGGATGCAACCAAATTCTGTGCTCACATGCGCCCCCTACCCTGAGGCTGGCCTCACTTGGTGACATTACAAGCCGTGGTTGAGTGCAATTAAGACCCATATTTGCTGTAAAAAACACAATTTATGACCCATACCAACAACGCGCGCACGAGTCCTATCATGAAGTTAAAAAAAAAGTTCATTGTGTGACTTGAGTAAAGTGCAGTAACGGGGTGTCTGCAATTAGCTAGATAAGATTCAGATTCATTGCCATTTGCAGTAAAACCACATTGGAAAAACTGTTACTCGTTACTGAAGAAAGTAACGGCGTTAGAAACGCTGTTTATTTCAACGCCATTATTCCCATCACAGTATATTTGTGCAATACTTGTATATTGGTATGTGTGAACTTATGAATAAAGTGGTGCTGGGATTTATATGGCACAAGTTATGTTACAAAACCTAATAGGTAGGTGAAGGAAGTTTATTTGTATAGCACAGTTCATAAATAAGCACTAACTAGCACTAGTGAGATCACAGTGGTTTACAATAGTAACACTTGCCTTCCAGTGGATCTTTGCCGTAAATAGAAAGTTTATGAGAGTTACAGTAAACGTGAGAGCGCCGTGTCACGTTTAGGGCCAGCTCACCTGACCATGAGGGGCTGAGGGAAGCAACTGGAGGTCTGGCTCTGGATCAGCGCCTGCAGGGACAGGAGGTTCTGCAGCAGGGTTCCACACCGGCCTTTGTCTATTTTAGTCACCACCATCTGAACAGAGCCAGCAGTCAGATTCAGTTTATATGTCGTTTGCAGAAAAACCACATTGGAATGCAAGTACTAAACTACCCCAGGATGCACCAGACAAGTACATACAGTGCCTTGCAAAAGTATTCGGCCCCCTTGAACCTTTCAACATTTTGCCACATTTCAGGCTTCAGACAAAGATTTTTGTTAAGACTCAACAACAAGTGGGACACAATCGTGAAGTGGAACGAAATTTATTGGATAATTTAAACTTTTTTAACAAATAAAGTGGGGCGTGCAATATTATTCGGCCCCCATTTTAGCCATCTTCCCTGTCCCTGCTGAAGAAAAGCAGGCCCAAACCATGATGCTGCCACCACCATGTTTGACAGTGGGGATGGCGTGTTCAGGGTGATGAGCTGTGTTGCTTTTACGTCAAACATATTGTTTTGCATTGTGGCCAAAAACTTTGATTTTGGTTTCATCTGACCAGAGCACCTTCTTCCACATGTTTGGTGTGTCTCCCAGGTGGCTTGTGGCAAACTTTAAACAAGACTTTTTAAGGATATCTTTGAGGAATGGCTTTCTTCTTGCCACTCTTCCATAAAGGCCAGATTTGTACAGTACACGACTGATTGTTGTCCTATGAACAGACTCTCCCACCTCAGCTGTAGTTCATCCAGAGTGATCATGGGCCTCTTGGCTGCATCTCTGATCAGTCTTCTCCTTGTTTGAGATGAAAGTTTGGAGGGACGGCCGGGTCTTGGTAGATTTGGGCGGCAGTAGCTCAGTTGGTAGAGCGTTGGCCTTTGAGCCAGAAGGTCGTGGGTTCAAGCCCCGGTCAAGACTTTCACCATCGACTCCCACTGACTACTGTCGTTGTGTCTTTGGCAAGACACTTAACCTCTGGGAACACCAGCCACAGTGCGGCTGTAAAGTGCCAAACTGCCGTTGTGTCCTTAGGCAAGACACTTCACCCCCCTTGCCTAGAATGAGTCTGGTGTGTGTGTGAATGGTTGGTGGTGGTCAGAGGGGCCGATGGCACATACTGGTTGCCTCGCTTCTGTCAGTGTGCCCCAGGGCAGCTGTGGCTACATTAGTAGTTTATCACCACCGTGTTTGGAGTGAATGAATAATGACACATGTGAAGCGTCTTTGAGTGTCCAAAAAAGCGCTATATAAAACCGATGCATTATTTGCAGTGGTCTGATACTCCTTCCATTTCAATATAATTGCTTGCACAGTGCTCCTTGAGATGTTTAAAGCTTGGGAAATCGTTTTGTATCCAAATCCGGCTTTAAACTTCTCCACAACAGTGTCTCGGACCTGCCTGGTGTGTTCCTTTGTCTTCATGGTTCTCTCTGCGCTTTAAACAGAACCCTGAGACTATCAAAGAGCAGGTGCATTTATACGGAGACTTGATTACACACAGGTGCATTCTATTTATCATCATCAGTCATTTAGGACAACATTGGATCATTCAAAGATCCTCACTGAACTTCTGGAGTGAGTTTGCTGCACTGAAAGTAAAGGGGCCAAATAATATTGCACGCCCCACTTTTCAGTTTTTTATTTGTTAAAAAAGTTTAAATTCATACATACATTTCGTTCCACTTCACGATTGTGTCCCACTTGTTATTGATTCATGACAAAAAATTTAAATTGTATATCTTTATGTTTGAAGCCTGAAATGTGGCGAAATGTTGAAAGGTTCAAGGGGGCCGAATACTTTCGCAAGGCACTGTAAGTAAAACAAGCTAAAAAGTACAAGAAACAATTGACACAGTGAAACCAATAAACATAAAAAAGTGGAAATGCTACAAAAAAACCCAACCACGACTTCTTTGTTAAACGGACACATAATGCAAAGTCTTCTCTTTGGAGCTTTTGACCATGAACTAGGGCTGGGCGATTTTTTTCACAACAAATCCGATTTTCCATTTCAATCGATTATTTTTTTCTATTTAAAACCAAACTACCTAAATTTCCCCATGGAGCATAAGTGTAACAGGAAATAAGCCTTAAAACATGCTTGTAAACAAGATGGCCCTGCCATTGTAAACAGTGAAAATGTACATGTAGCTTAACCCTCAGAGCAAGAAGGAGCGCTACCGCAGGGCCTTTATCTCCACCGCTGTCAGATTGTACAATAAGTCACTTTAAGTCACTTGCATTAGGACTGAAAAAACCTGCACTGACACTGTTTCTTGATTACCACTTTTGAATTACCACGTTTTATTGTACGTAATACAGTGGGGCAAAAAAGTATTTAGTCAGCCACCAATTGTGCAAGTTCTCCCACTTAAAATAATGACAGAGGTCTGTAATTTTCATCATAGGTACACTTCAACTGTGAGAGATAGAATGTGAAAAAAAAAAAAAAAAAGTATTTAGTCACTTCTTCTTTAAGAAGCTCTTCTGTCCTCCACTCGTTCCCTTTATTAATGGCACCTGTTTGAACTCGTTATCTGTATAAAAGATGGCCCAAATGTAGCCCAAAACGATATTTCAACCACTGATAATCTCACTCGATCTGGGGCTCCATGCAAGATCTAATCCCGTGGGGTCAAAATGATCATTAGAACGGTGACCAAAAATCCCAGAACCACACGGGGGGACCTGGTGAATGACCTGCAGAGAGCTGGGACCAAAGTAACAAAGGTTACCATCAGTAACACACTACGACGATAGGGAATCAAATCCTGCAGTGCCAGACGTGTCCCCCTGCTGAAGCCAGTGCATGTCCAGGCCCGTCGGAAGTTTGCCAGAGAGCACATGGATGATACAGCAGAGGATTGGGAGAATGTCATGTGGTCAAATGAAACCAAAGTAGAACTATTTGGAATAAACTCAACTCGTCGTGTTTGGAGGAAGAAGAATACTGAGTTGCATCCCAAGAACACCATACCTACTGTGAAGCATGGGGGTGGAAACATCATGCTTTGGGGCTGTTTTTCTGCTAAGGGGACAGGACGACTGATCGGTCTTAAGGAAAGAATGAATGGGGCCATGTATCGTGAGATTTTGAGCCAAAACCTCCTTCCATTGAGTTGAATTTGTGTTATTGACCAAATACTTATTTTCCACCATAATTTACAAATAAATTCATTAAAAATCTTACAATGTGAATTCCTGGATTTTTTTCCCACATTCTGTCTCTCACAGTTGAAGTGTACCTGTGATGAAAATTACAGACCTCTGTCATTATTTTAAGTGGGAGAACTCGCACAATCGGTGGCTGACTAAATACTTGTTTGCCCCACTGTATATCCTGCATTTAAGGTGTTTGCACATTTCTTTCTTTTGGACAATCTTGAGTGATTCTATCCATGCCAGATGTGACATGTAACTTTCTCCTGTCTGAGATCAATAATGTCGATCTTTTCTTATCTTAACACTTATCTAATAACTTCACTTAGTGACACAATGCACCTTCAAAATAACTTAAAACGCACAAACGAGGGCCATAGCAAACATATCAATCGTAACAAACACATGCATTATCTACATTAAATATCACATTTTTAAAACTAACGATTACTCAAAATACAATTTTACAAAAACCTCCTTGGGTTTTTGTGCTTGTTCTTTCAACCGTGCCAGAGCAACTGTGCTGTAGTACAACGCTCGGTCCAGCTGGTGGTGCTAATACTAACTTCAGTGACTACCGCGTTGTGCGAGTTAAGTTTCCGTTTCTCTTCCTGTTTACATTCTGCTGCTGTGGCTAACAGCTCGAGCACGGAACACGTTGTTTTTATCAAAGCAATGTGAACAAGTGTGAGACATGTCTTTCCCCAAAGTGCAGCGGCTCAGTGGGACACGTGCGTGTGCGCGCCGCCAACACGGGAACGCGCTTTGGAGTAACGAGCGTGAGCGCTGAGAAATGAATAATTGAGAATGAAAGAATAAAAAGTGTGGCGTACGAGCAGAGCGACCGGAGCCAGGCAGGATATAATCAATTTTGATTAAAAAGAAATCGCCCTAAACGTCAAATTTGAATTAATAATTAAAATCAATTTATCGCCCAGCCCTACCATGAACTATTATAACTTTTTGTCATTAATAATAACAGACATTTTATACCAAAATGCGCATGAGAGCCCTGTTAGTCAGTATTTGAGACTTTGAGCTGAGAGAGGGTGGTCCTCTCTTTCTCACTTTTCTGTCTCAAAAACACATGCAGTTGAAAACTACAGAGAGATGGGAACTAAACCTAGATCCATCGAGACAATTTACTTTGTCCTTTAATGTTTTAAAATGAGAAATAATATCTTGAGTAGAAAATATATGATGAAATAAGTTTGAAAAATGCTTTCCACTTGTAACCCCCATGCTACCACCAGAGGGAGGAGTTCAATCGGTTAATATGGTCAAAACTGGTTTTAAACAAGCAGAAAACTGCTCTGCCTGTGGGGCGACATCATACTATTGCAGGACTGAGACAGGAGTTTTTAGACAAAGCAGATTCACATGTTTATTCCAAAAGTTCCTGAGAGTAGCGTGGATGGATCTAAAAACAACTCCAGGTCTGTCAGATGTTGTAGCATGGCTAAAAACTCAAACCCTAACCCTCAAAAAGACAAATCCTTAAATTTTATCATTTAGAATTTAGTACGCAAAAGATGCCATTGCCCCCCAGAAGTATTGTATCTGTTCTGTTTGAAATCGTATCACTGCAGAGGAGTAATTCAGAACGTGTCGTGGGATGAAGTGAATGCAGAACACCTTTATAGTCTCCCTTTATAGCACTGCGACATATCTGCACATAGACCTTTAGCTGGATAAAACAGACTCTTCAGAACTAAATGAAAGGGTTCATTGTTAGTGTTCCGCACCACGTACGGCCGCCTGGTTTCCTCACACATCTCCAGAGCAATGGAGTCTGCTGCCTGGAAGCCCACACTGCCGTCCACCAACAAGAACGTCCTCACCAAACTGGAAACAAGCACAGGAACATGACTCTCACAGCTCCAGAGAGAACGCGAGAGAGTGATGGAGATAGAGGTGGAGGCAGATGGAAAGATAGAAAAATGGAGAGAGAGCAAGGGAGTTGGGGAGGGATGGATGGAGATGGAGATAAAGAGTGATGAATTAGATAGAGGTATACACTGCAAAAAGAGATGAAAAAAATTGTCAAAATGTATCTAAATTTCAACACATTTTCACTGCCTTAAAACAAGATTTGCCAATGGGCAGCAGTCTGCACTGCTGCTGCATGAGGGCACCAGAAACGCTTCACTGCAAATATCAAAAGAACAGTCTTGAGTCCTGAGCCTTTTAAATCCTCACGTTAGTCAGAAACCCAGCCATCACCACTGATTACGCATGATTTTTTTAATACAAACTTAGCAGAACTTTAATCCACTAATATTGGTCCTATTACTATAATTGCTTTTCTTATCTTCACACACATTCAACAAAAAACAAAACAAAGTAAACATAACCAGACCGGAACAAGAAAACATGCATTTGGTCCCATTCGCTCTCACACATACAACACACACCTGACAAGAGTTATTCTACATTTTTGCAGTATGCAAGTCTGTTAAAATGAGACAGAAAAACTATGAGAGACTAAAGTGTCTGCGATCTGAATTAGTTCACCAATAATCGACATTGGAAGTAGCTTTGGACGATTTCAATTTTTAATCGATTTTCATTAAAGTCACCGAAGACAGACTTTGCCCGTAAAAATATGTTTTGATCTTTCCGCTCAATATTCAAGTTTCAAAACTATTTTTAATTTGTTTCCCCCAGTACGTATTATAAAAGTCAGACTGTGTCCTGTAATTGCAAATATAATTTTTGTGCTGCTGGAACTCTCATAATATCCTTCATTCGATTTAAAGTTTTTCACATTTTTCACAAATTCGATTTTTTCAAAAGCCAATTAATTGCCCAAATTCGATTAATTGCCTAGCCCTAATTGGAAGTATTCTTTAACTAAAGCCTGCCTACTAGCCGGTTTAAAACCAGACAAAATATCACAAGCAATATTTAATCTCCCGTAACAGGAGAAGATGGGGAGCTGGAGTTTCTCCCAAAAGGAAAAGCATCAGATTGCTAAATGGGCTTGTTCACACTAAAGGGCACAAAAGTGTTAGCCTGGACGTACCACACCATAGTAGGGCTGAAACAACTAATCGATTAACTGACGACTAATCGATTATTGAAATAGTCGACAACTATTTTAGTAATCGATTAATCGTTTTCTGGTTCACACGGACTCAAACAGAGCAAAAATGACATGAAATTGTAGTATTTTTGATTAAAACCGACTTTGTTTTGATAATTTCATGAATATCTGTCTCATCAGATCAGATAGCAGAATTAGCACAAAGAGCCTGTTACAAACATTTACTTTAAGTTTACGCCATCAATACGTCGTCGAGTGTTGCCACTTTAGCTTTTTGTGATGAAAAAAAAAAAAATTCTACACAATTCACAACCAAGCGATTACTCGATTAATCGTAAAAATAATCGATAGATTAATCGATTACAAAATAATCGTTAGTTGCAGCTCTACACCATAGTACAAATGACATTTTGTACTAAGGTCTGGAGGTGCTCCATTGAGCTCCGTTTACAGGTGGGAGGGGTTAACTCCTTTTGCAGATTGAAACAATTGGATCTGAGTTTACTGTGACGTATGTAGTGCGCCCGAGTCTGTTGTTAGCATTTAGCCAGTGTTGTGCCAGTTCACAGCTTTTTTGAACTAGTTCAAGTTCAGTTCATCCATGCTCAAAGTGAACAGTTCACGTTCAAAGTTCACATTTTTAATTCTGAACTAGTTCAAAGTTCAGTTCATTTAACTTTTTTCGTGAGATACTCAAATATTTTTTTCACACTACGAGCTATAATATATATATATATATATATATATCTCCTGTACACCCACGGGAGAGCCTTTTGACTACAAAACAGACAAGATTTGGGAGCAATACGGATTTGCTCATAAACTACAGACAGTAATGCGCTGCAGTGCGTGTGTCTATACTTTATGTCAAATGTAAACGGTGTAAACTTTGTCGCTAACTCACCCTGTGTTTTCATCACGACTCAGGCACATGTGAAAAGCACCAGCTCACAGCGCCGCACCGCAACATGGAGTCGGGGTGCGTTCACAGACGGTGGAAACCGTAGGAACTTTTAGATTTCGGCGGAAAAAATGCGAGAATACAGGAGGGAGGAACTTTCTCTCGTTGCGTTTCAAAAGAGAAAACAGATTCCAACGTTCATAGTGATGTCTGCCGTTCATGACACATTAAATGAACTAATTCACGTTCAAGTTCTTTTTTTAATAATGTGTTGCGTTCAGTTCAACGTTCACAAAAAAATGAGCGTGTTCAATGAACGCGTTCTTTTGAACTCGTTCACGCACAACACTGCATTTAGCCTAGCCATCTCCTTTGTCGCTAATGGAGCCCGTGGGGAGTAGCGCCACAATTTTTTCCAGCGATTACATTTGCTAAACATTCCTCTTGCTCCGGCTTCAATTTCTTGATAGAACCAGACCGGATTACTTTACTATTGAATTTTTCGCCATTACCAAACTACAACCTGCCTGTTCGACGCAAACTCTTGACATCACCCACAACTGACTACAACACCTGCCTTCCGCTCTCTGAATGGTCGGTCGAAATTCAACCGATTGTAATCGCTAACACAGGGACCAGACCCAGACGTTACATGCATTGAAATGATGATTGAACTCAGTGTACGGATGGCTAAAGCCAGGCTACAAAAGTGTGACAAAAGGCCAAAAATTTGATTTTGATAATCAGAAGATTTTTTATGTTTTTCATGTATCCATAAACCTCCTCTGTCCATTAGAAGTTGCTAGAACACAATAACATAACATATTGAACATAATACAATATGTTATAAAAAACATTAAAAATAATATCCAAATCTACCTCCTGTGGACTCCTGGAGGAGGATCAGTGAGGGCTGGTGCAACACCCCACCCCGCAGAAATGGACTAAGGGGGGGAAAATGGATGGATGGATATCCAAAGCTAAACACCAGGATCACAAAACCCAAAATAAGCCAAAAATGGGGAGGGTGACACAAACAGTTACTGAGCTAAAGTAGCTTGGGGGTTAGCATTGTCCATCTATAGAGTATATCTGCTCGTGGTCTGCACCAGGGACATGCAGTGAGGTTGGTGATTCAGATGAATCAGATGAAGAGGACCTCCAGAGCGGATTACTAATAATTTGTTTGGCCTACCCTGAAGCTCACCTCTCTTGGTGACATTACAAGCCGTGGCTGAGTGCAATAAAGACCCAGATTTGTTGTCAAAAACACAATTTATGACCCATCTGGTAAACTTTAGACATTGTTGATTGTTAAGGAAATACTGTATGTTTGAACATCGTAAACCACGATAAACAGAACAGTTCGATAGCACTGCAGCGGCTTGTCCCACTGTGAACTACGGGCTTTTACATCTCCCAAGAAAGACTCGCCTCATGAGAAGAATATGACAAAAATCTGCAATTTTTAGGTAAAAATGTATGAAATAAGGCAAAGTTACATTGAGATAATACAATGATCAAACCAATGGTGTAGGTTTGGTTCCAATCTTGGTGGGGACATTCACTACGACCTGAGTCTACACCCATTGACACGGGGTCCAGAGTTTCTCCCCCAGAATTTGTTGTGTAATCACACACTATATTTGCAATAGTGTGTTGCCTTCTATACTAAACTCAGCTGTAGACTGAATGAGAAGCAGTTATGTATGTTAACAGAAGATTAATCATCACAATTCATAATTTGCTATTACTTGTGCTTTCTCTTACTTACTTTCCAACTGTTAAAAAAGCTCCTGATATCTTTTATCTTATTTGTGGAGGTGGCATTTTTTCTAAATTATATAAGAAGGTATAGACAATCAAAAACAGACATTCATATACATGAACTGCAGAATCATTTATATAACTTGGCCAATGTCAAAAGTTACATAGTATTTCTCAATACAATGAGTTAACAAGAGTTTGGCAATAAGTAACAGTGTGGATTTTTCTATATTTTCTTTTTTTTATTCCACTCTCCACCCAAAAAGGCAAGTAATGACTCACAGGGCTCTCAAGTATGCAAAATAAAAACTTAAATGACCTGTTGTGGTGTGTTTTGCGCACAACCAGCATGCATCGTTAACGCAATGGAAAATTTACGTATCCGAGCTTTAATTTCGGGAGCGCTGGTTGCGCTTTGGGAAGAGTCAGGGGAGAGACATGTCAGAGACACAGGGGAGAAACGGGGGAGATACGAGGGAGACCCGCACTTGCAACATGGTTCTGTCTGCATATGGTCCGAGCTCGGTACCATGTTAGAGCTGTGCTTTCACTGAGCGCCGCGGCTGTCATTACAAAGCGGCAGCAGCTGCACCAGGACGTGCACATTCGAGTGCATCGCTTGAATGTGCTTAGAGCAAATAACAGCAAGTGCCCGCTGTCACACATTTCACAGAAATTACATTATCAGCAGATAAAGGTTGTAAATCGTGGATCCGTGGAATATTTTCATCCCTAGTTTATCCTGATTCACACAACACACCCACTTATACATTTTGGATAGTAAGAGCACAATAAGTATTTGTTCAGCCTTTCAACCAACCTGTTTCTTTATTGGAGCCAGTTCTGTTCTGTCTCTGTGCCGTGTGAGCTCCTCGGAACATTAAACAGTGCGCCGACAGATTAGAAATAACGTAAGTACTTTGAATGGTAATAGATCTACAGTACTTTCCTCTGATTACTCACGTGCTACAAGGCTCAGGGAACGAAAAAAAACACTTGCTTCACGCTGGCTAACTTTTAAAAATTAAACAGTTGCTCAGTGCTTCAGTTTGGCGCTGAAGAAGACAGCCAATCAATGCAGAGAACGGAACGGGTCACGTGCTGCTGCTGCTGCTGCTGTTGCTCTGGAGGCGAGGAGGAGGCGCGACGTGTGCACAAACGGAAGACATGTGTCCCGGACCGTCCGGGTCCCGGAACATCATGTCATATTGGTGGGGACATGTCCCCATGGTCCCCACGCAAACCTACGCCCTTGGATCAAACGTGAGGCCTGGCCTCCCCTGCCCGCACGTCACTGGTCTGAAAATATGTGATAATGGTATCAATGCAACCTTGTGTAATTCTTTCCATAGAGTTACATTGTCTCCTACCACCATGTGAAATGAAAGTTGTAGAAAGTGAAAGAAGAAAAAGGTACTACTTACTTGGTTCTGCTGAAGAGGTACGGCTCGACCATGTCCACAAAGTCCTTGGGAGCATTGTGGCCATATCCCGGCATGTCCACCACAGTGAAGGACCGGCCCACTCGGAAGAAGTTCATCTTCTTTGTTTGACCCTAAAGGAGCAAGGGAATAGAACACAAGGACATTTATTTATATAGTACATTTTACATTAAAAAAATCAGGAGAGGCATTACTCAAAATCACAATAACAGTCAGAATAGAATAGAATGTGTCTTTGGATTGCAATTACACACATATTCCTGGTAGACACATGTAAGAGTCTGCTAGAAAGAACAACTTATAAGCTGGACATATTAGCCTTTAGTTTACTCTCGAATGAACTATTTGACGTCATTAGGTAGAGTATTCTATAGGAGGATCTTTGTTTACATCAGAGTGCGCATGCGCCCCTCGCTGGGTGGCAAAAAGACAGAGCGGCACAAACTGAAGCATGGATGCGACGAGTACTTTTAAGAGACTCAGGCCGCGTTCAAACCAGATCATGCGTTGCGTCTGCTTTCAATGCAAAGTCAATGGTTACGCGTGTTTGAGCGTTAAAATGCATGTGCGTCTCGGAATGCACGCACGGACTGCGCAGTAGAGACACACGGACTGCGCGGGAAAGTCGAAGGGGAAGAGCAGGAGCTAAAAGTTAACGCACGCAGGAGATAAACTTTGCTGAACGTTTCCTCGAACGTTTGTGCAGAGACCAATCAGAGCGCTGCAAAGTGGTCACAGGGTCATTAGCGGACTGAGCAAGCAGACTGAACATACTGTAAAAAGCCAAAACAGGAGCCAGGACTAAAACCAGGGTTGACAAGACAATGGGGGACATAGTGCTTGTGAACATATGCGTTTTCATGCTCCCGTGACTTTATGGAACTGCTTCGGGTGTGTTCGCCAATGCGGAAGTAAGGTTTAATAATAAAATATTAACTTATTGCGCACCTCCATGAACAGATACTACTGATATATAAAGTCCGTGGAAGGTCTCTGGACACAGAGAGGCTGCAGAGCTGCCTTATTGGAGACTAACCTAAAACAAAAACCCGCTAGCTTACTCCGTTAGCATCGAAGTAGCCTGCTACTTCCGCCACTTCTGGCGCTGACCAGGACGTTCTGGTGTGAAGTCCTGTGTGTCTGAAAACTAGAGAATGTGCGTCTGGTGAGCGGGGCTTCAGCGTTGGCGGTCTGAACACAGCTTCAGAGGGCGAAATGCACAGTATATAAGCACTTTAACGCAAGATCAGAGGAGATACAGTATAAAGACAAGCTAAATTTAAGTATATGAGACGGAACTGAACAAATTCAAAGCCCATATAATATTTACAGTCTATGTATAAGACCTGGGATGACGAGAAAAAACATTTGTCAGACTCACCTCTGTCTTGGTATCGATCTGCTGGGAGACATTTATTCTTACTTCACATAAAACCCGAGACCCTTCACGCAAGAAGGGTCCGTTAAAAGCGGGTTGCCTCTTTTTGCTGTTACATACGTAAACGTGGAACAGGAAGCCGCGGGAATGAGCAACCAAAATGTAAGGTTTCAAACTAATTATCACAGTGAACAAGTATGCAGTGAAAGTAGTGGCAAACATTTTTTACATGGTTTTTTATCCCCTTATCCTCCCGGCTTCTCGTTCTACATTTACCATAGATAACGGCATAAAAGGGCAACCACTTTTTTTGCTGTTCTTTTACGAAATAATTAGAAAAAAAACGTTTTTCCCCAGCGGGCTGTACAACCGACCACACAAGAATGGACTCTTTAATTTAGTAAAACCTCTCTCCAAAAATCTAAAAATATTATTTATTTTATTTATTGATTTATTTGATAGGGACAAGTGAACACAATCAACATGTGAAACCATACAACATTTATAGCCAAGGCTAGTTTGCAATGTCCGTCCCTAGGAGGGCTTTTAACACAATTAAAACACATTATACATTATAAAATTCACATTATACAAAAGCAGATGTTCTCCAACTCATTGATGCTCACACACCTGGTTTGTTTTAAGAAATCGCTTTAGTTCATGTTTAAAACCAGCCCAGTCAGAGTTCAGTTTTAGCTGAGGGCTTAAAGAGTTCCAGAGCTTTGCCCCCTGGACCGAGAAGACCGACTGTCCGAATGTGGTTCTCCTGAGGGGCACTTTCACATTCCCGTTAGAGGAGCCCCGTGTGACGGATCTCAGAGGAACTAAGAGAGCACTCAGGACAGCAGGGGCTCGACTGTGCAAACATTGACAAGACAATGGGGGACATAGCTAACTCTCTAGCATCCAGGTAGCTTTCTATGCTGTTTTGCCACCCGGTCACGTGACCGGCGCAGAAAAACTAAACAAAGACGTGACACAAAGATCCTCCTATTTAAAAGAAGCATAGTGAGAGAAAGCTGCTTCCCCCACGATACAATTCATTTTAGTTCTCGTTCTGCAGCCTGTGTCCCGGATCTACAGTCTGTCTCTTCGTAGGTGCAAATCCCTCTCTCAATATGGGCCACCCAGAGGTTTCTCATATTTTTCTACTGTTCTTTTTTAGTGGTTTGCAGATGGAGGAGGATCTAAAGACAGTGACGATCTGGATATTCAGGGACATTTATTACCAGTTATGTAACAACTGACATTTCTCCTCTTTTTCCTCTTTCCTCTTTAACCAATGGCTCCAATGGGTTTTTTATTATTAGATTTCCCATGTTCGAACTGTTTGATTCTCTGATGTGAAAGTTATACACACAATTTAATTAAATTACATATGAAAAAATATACAATTACCTTATCAGTCTAACAATCCCGCTTAACCTTTAGGTTATGTTTTTAATTGAACGAAATTTAATGAATTCACCAGAAAAGACAATACCAACTCTTGTTACCAGTTTTTTACCTGTTACCACTTGTTTCACATTACAGACAGATGAAAAACCGTTGGCGCCCTCTGCTGGCCCAAGCGAAAGCTACCATATTATTAATCTCTTGAAGCGGTTTGTGTCTTACTGGAGTTTTGGAGACTCGAACCTGGACCTCTGGAGTCAGGGAAAACAGAGCTTTGATGAGGGACGACTTCCCCACATTACTCCTGCCGATGAAGCACACCTGCAACACGGGCAGTAGTTACACCAACAACAACTCATGGGTTTTTACAACAAGAATATAACTGAAATCCAACTTTGTTATGCTATACTGTGACCTGTGATCGTCTGATTTATCTGTCTGTTTTTATATTTCTATCAAAATATCATGATGGTTTTACATGAACTCTTGAATGTATTTATTACAGGGGTGAACAAAGTACAACAGTGTTTCCCACAGATTTGAAAGCAATGTGTGGGAGCCGGGGGATGGGGCAATTTTGACATTTTGACATTTTAATTTCAAAAGGCTATAACTTAAATACAGGGAATAAGTGTACCCATCTAATTAGCATATTATGACATCATATGGCTCTTTGAAAATGTGGATTTTAGAATTTTCATAAAATATTTGTATTGTTTTAACTGACAGACTTATGTATCACTAGGACATGAACACACAAAGAGAACTCACACTGTAACATGCTAAATGTTCAGGGAAGTAGTAAAATATGCAAATCATGACTGCCCCAGACTGCTGTCAGGCGCGCGCCTGAGTGTCACCGCGACTCTCGAATCTGTGGCGGTGCGCCACAGATTAGCCTATGTGTGGGAAACACTGTACAAGTCTAAAGTACTTAAGTAAAGTTACTTAGATAATACTACTAAAACTACTCTGGTAAAAAGTACTTTGGTTAAGATAAGATATAAAAGTAATTTTAAAGCTTGTGCGTGTAAAGGCCACCTCTGGCTGTGTGATATCAGGAGCATGGTCCATCCTCTCTGCTGACGTGTAGTAGCTGACGTGGTGGGGGGGTGAGGGGAGGAACATCTTCTCTGCTTTGAGCATGTCCTCCACACTGGGATGGAAGAGGTTGAAGGCCGACCGGTCCACTGACCTGCACAAGGAACCAGGAGTAAGGCTCATAATCATAGTAGAATCAGATCAAAACAGGCATTTGAACGGTGTTAAATCTGGTTCAAACAACTGTACCTGGACAGAACCAAATAAGACAGAGGTAAGATTTTTAATTGTGAAACAATGAGCAAGTTTTGCAGCAGCAGGGAAAAGCTTCTGGCCCTGCAGTCGTGAGACTACTGCTGCTCTGTCCCGTTGTGAGAAACTTTTTATTTCACACAAAAAAAGACACCCATTATGGTCACATCATTGTCAATCCAAAGATTCCACATGGCCTAAACCATTAATTTGTTGACATTTTAGCCTAAAAGGTTTCCAGTCTTATCACACGTTGACAACCTACAAATGGCACATAGCAAAGTACACTTTTCATCACAACAACCCATCCATCCATCCATTTTCTTCCCCTTAATCCATTTCTGGGTCGGGGGGGTGGCAGTCACAGCTGCACCCAGTACACTTAGCACCAGCCCCTCACTGATCCTCCTGCAAGTTGTGAGTCCACAGGAGCCCTTGCATTTACAGACATACTATCGTCTCTTACCAATGCATTAAATATCAATTCAAATGATTATATAACTTGGAATTCTAATGTCAAATGGTGACACGGTTCATCAAATGTGAACGTTATAAAAAGCTACAGAAATTAGTATTTTTTTCTCATTGGAAAAACATTGTTTGAAATAACTACTACTTTCAAAATTGTGCATCATCATGCACAAGTTGGAACAAAATCCAACATTTTCAATAAACTAAATTTTAAATAATCAAAAATGGAAATCAACATATAAGTTTGTACATTGGGATGTAAATTAAGCCCAAAGTTCTCATCAGTTGTCCTAATGACATTGTTACTTTCGTAAGTTTCTCACCGGTCCAGGTAAGGCTCCACGTAGCTGAAGGGGTACAAGAGGCTCTGGGTCTTCTTGGGGGAAAGTGGTGGAAGATTTTGAAGCGAGGCCAGTTTGTGGACGTTCATCTGGGAGAAAGTCCAAAGTGGAGGGACCGCTCTTAGGCGTAAACTACAACACAACATCTTCTCTGGTTATGCTACAGTCGTGATGTGTTGTATTTTGTGAAGCTGAAAAACAAGATACTATAAGACTATACGTTTATACAGCAGCCTGAATTCGCCATTTATTATTTAACAAATGTAACTGGATTAGATTTTATAACTTTTCATTAGCGTTTTCCTGCATAACTGCAAAGTTGCATTTACTAAGTGCTGCAGAGTTGGAATAAAACAATTCAAATCATTAAAAACATTTTTTTTAAATATTTTTTTTGTATTTTTTTCTATATTTAATTATTTTTTGTTAATTAAGTTAATATATTTAGATTAGATTATATTAGGTTTAGTTTAGTTTAATGGCACACATACAGTACAGGACTGCATGCACCTGGTTGGGCCTAAATTTAATGTTAACCTGTTCAAGGAGATGCAGTATGTTTTTTCGTTTGCCTGCAAACTTGTTAAATAAACCTTTTGAACTATATATTTTTGAATGAACATAAGTTTGTTATTTTCACTCCATAAACCACACCCATTGTGCATTCTAGTGATTATTTTAGTTTGTTTGGTCTTCAGTTTGGTTACCTTTTGTTTGATAGTTTGTTGTTTTTATTGTTTTCAATGAGCACGCGCTCTGTCAAAGCGCCTCGGCGACCGCTAACATAAAAGCCTTCGTGCGTAAGTAAAGGTATTTTTAGGAACACACAATGCCCAAAAAAGAAGAAGAATACTCACCCAAACATCGTTCTGTTCTCTGTACAGAAAAGCCCAGCGTGATGCTTAAAATGCAGATTAATTGTGGATCTGCTTCTTGAGTTGACATCTGTTCGCCATGTTGGTGTTGCGCTTTAGTCAGTCCGACCACATGACAAAACAGTAGTTCCGCTTCCGAATTGTGCTATCCACATTGATGAATGCATCTTCTGTTACTTCTCCTCCACATTTTTAGAACATTAATTTTTCTTATCTTTCATTATTGTCTTATCCAGGTTACAAACAGTTGTTTAGCTGCGCATACAACTGAAGCATTGTATCTTCACTCGTTATTAATGTACTGTGATTATTTATGATTTGATGTGATTGTTTCTATCTTGTTTGGTTAAGCACTTTGAACGGCCTTGTGTATGTACATTGCTACACAAATAACTTGCCTTACCAATTGTACTTGTGGAGTTTGCTATCACAGAATGTTTGACTTAAAGCTGGGGTCCCTAACTTTTTTTTCCCAATGAAGAGTACAGAAAGTAAAATCTTTCAAATGAGACCACAACATGCGTCTTCATCTGATCAGAAAACAGTCTTTTGCATTATTGTCACTATTTAAAGTTAGAGGCTAAGATTGGATGAGAGTGGTTCTCATCGATTTGCCAACAACAGATCAGGGAGCACACAGTTCAAACACAAGAATAATGATAGTAATTTATTAATAACAAACTGTAGCCATTGCTCCATATAGGGAGCGAGATGACCACTGTCCGTAAATAACTTTCCATTTAAGAAAATCAAGGTAGGCAAAACCTACACAAGCACAGAGGGAACTTGCAAAGCACTGCTCCACCGTGTCACACAGATAAATAAAATTCCATGACAATTAAGATTAGGAGATCCTTTATTCGTCCCACAGTGGGGAAAATTTCAGTGTTGCCTCACCAGTTACATAACAGTAGGTATGAAGACCACACAACACAAGATAAATTAAAGGCGCTATACCCGTTTCTACAATGTTTGAATGTTTAGCACCGCCCCCCAACTCGCTCACAGGCTTCTCATTTCCCCTACGCTCTCATAACACGGAGCCACCTAGTTTTATTTGCGATCTGATACATATGCTAACATTAGCATTAGCGCAACTTGTAAGCTGTACAACAATCACTGATGAAATGGCACTAAAGCAACGCACTGCTAACACAATATATGAGTAAAAGAATACCATTAGTTTCGCGTCCGGATGTATTAATTTAAACATTAGAATATATTCTAATATTTAATTATAATTTATTATACAGCTCCTCACAGCAGCAGCAGAACACTCCATTGACTTGAATGCAATTCTTCCGATAATTTCTTCTTGATAACAGAACTCTCAATCCAATAATGACCGCAGCCCCAATGCAATCTCGGTTTGTAATTCAGGTGTGTAAAATACTGCCATTACTCTGCAAGTACAACAAGCTATCAGCGCCTGTCACTACATTGTGCAGTTTTTCTGCACACTTGTCTGTGTAGAGAAGCTAGCGGAGCTAGCCACGCTCGATAAACAAATACATATCTATCAATCAACACCATTAAACGTCAATCGGACAATACAGTATACATATACATCCTTAACACACATGCACGGACGATTTCAGAATTTGCTGTCAACGTTTTCATGACAAAAATACTGTTTTAAAGTGACAAAAAGTGATCGCGAAAAACCCGGAAGTTACCATGAAACAGCTAGCTAGCTTAGCTGTTACCTGCCTAGCACGTCCCAGTGAAACCTTTGGGAGCTAACTATTTTATTTGCAGACATTAAATACATTTCGAATTACAAGGGTTGTCTAATATTTGTTCACATTTTTTTATTCAATTATTTTGTTCATCATTTTTTATTTTAGAATTATATTCGAATTTTGAAGTCGAAGCCCTGGTGTTAAGCAGCGCTGTAGGGGCTAGAGGACGCAGGCTGCTCGCTGCTCGTTCTGTGAGCGGAGGAGAAAGAGCGGCCCGCTCAGACTCTACTCAGCACTTTTCACTGCTTGAATTTCATACACAGTGGAATCAATGACCTCAAGTTTTCAATTAAATTATGTATTATGATACAACTTGTATGTAGTAAAAAGCATTTTTATGAACTACTTAGAAAAAAAATCGGGTATAGCTTCTTTAACAATAGATCTAATGTGTAATAATATACAATATAATAAAATCTCCATCTTAATGTCACATCCAAATCGGCAACATAATCCAAACAAACGCTGCATTTCTCATTTGCATTTTTTTTTAAAATTCAAACCTCGTTTATCTTGAGGACACGGGTGCTCGGCTTGAGATGGTCCAGCTGCACACCACCCACGACCCTCAGCTTTAGTCACAGACACTGACTTATCACCGCGTTTGACTCAGTGTGACCTCCGCAGCTTCTGAACCTGCTCATTAGCATGTTAACCAGGCCCACACACCTCCCCCCCTCTCTGTCACAACAACAATACGACACGTCTGCAAAGACAGAGAAAAGCCATGCAGTCTTTTCCCATCTTTCTTCTGGTCTTTGTTTGCCTTCGGATGGAATTGTAGTGAGTTCATCGAGCCCCTGGTTTCAATGAGTTTGAGTGAAGAGACAAATTCAACCATTCAGAAAGTATTTGACCTCTTTCACTTTGCTACATTTTGTTTATTCAAATAATTGTAATTTTGATAGATTTTCCCCCAAAATGTTTAGTTTTCTGTCTCATGGTGAGATGAAGGAGGACTTAAAATGCCGGAAAATGCAGCAAAATGTTATTATTTAATGATAATAAATACTAGTCCAGAGAAAAAAACAAACACCAAAATCCAAACTAAAGACAGTGACAATACAATGGGGAGCGGAGCACAGGTACAGTACATATAGACTCAGTTGAAACTCATCAGACAATCAACACAGGGAAACAAGACAGGAAGTAAAACTAAAAATAAGACCACAGAGAACTAAAGTCAAAATAAAACCAATTAACAAATAATCCACACCGAGACAGTTTTCCACCAAAGTCATTGATAATGAGTGTTTGTTTGTGTTGTTTTTTTTTCACCTTCACTCTCTTTTACTAAGTGCTAAAGAATGCTAGAGACCAGAACCAGTCCAGGACCAGCACCTACATGTGAACTTTTTTTCATATTTCATATTTTCCTATTTTACATACAGTTTACAAATTGATTTAATGAAGTCAACCCCACAGTATGATACTGCCCCCCACAATGCATGAATGGTATTTGCACCACCTTTCACATAAACAGAATGTTATCCTGGTGTTCAAACCCCAATTTCATCCTCACCTCAAGTAAAAGTAACTTTGCAATGGGGCAGGAGAGTTAATGTCAAGTGAACTTTTATAAGCCAATATCCATTGCTTCTCATGCGCTGCTCAGTGTCCTCTGCAGCTGTTTCTTACAGTGTTTGCATGGCTTTTGACAGCTGCAGCAGCACTCAGACCTACAGCGAACAGGTTTGATACCACGATCGCACTTCAGCAGTCGTGAGTTCAGGTGGTTAGAAAGGTGTATGTGTGGTGAGGGGTTTCATAGCCTTAAAACATACAGCTGCTACTTTCGCTTATTGCAAGATATTTTTTGAACATAACTATAAACATTTTGAAACTGAGAAGGGTTATCCAACACAAACAAAGGATTGATCACTGCTTAACAGAGAGAGCTGCTGATTCACTGGGTTTTTGAACATCAAAAGCTTACAGAATTCACCAGGACAAATCTGGTAAAATAAATTGTAATAGCAGACACAGAATTTGGGAAAAGCATTCTGGGTTTGTTGGGGAAAAATATCAAATATGATTATTCTCCATTTACAGGTGCTGTATGTATGTCTTCATTGATGCATTTCCCTCTCAACATCCCTGCACGTCTTGTCGTTCCACTAATCTTATCTTTGTGTCTCTATCGTTGGCTCTCATTCCACAGACATTATTTATGTGCTGCTTCTCTGGCCTGGGTCACCTGGAGCTCCATCATGCTGACCACTGTGTGTGTGTGTGTGTGTGTGTCTGTGCACGCAGACCTGCATGTGTGCGTGCTTGTGTGCGTATGTGCGTGCATGTGTTCATACGTGTTTATACGAAATTCATAACTCTCAGAGTTATGAAACTACTAGAACTCCCAGAGCAGTCATTATGACGGCTCCCGTTCAGATCAACGGGATTCTGAAAATTGACCTAACCCTACCACTTGCAATTTTTCTTTAACTACCATAGATTGGTTGCCAAGTGACCAAA